GGGAAGAACCACCTCTGCAGGTTACATTAGAGAAGCGTGCTGGCTGTTTTTCCTTACTCCGTACTGAGACTGCTTGGTTGTGGGAGGTGGCACTGTGGATGTCTGTATTCTTGTCAAAGTTGATAGCTGACTAAAATCAAACCACGATTAAGGGAGACACCAAGTCCTGGTATTTCCTTCACTTCACACTGGAGAAAAGATTCAAAGGAGGAAGAAAGGGCACAGGGGGAAGGGAGAAATGGATGGACTAGATTATATTTTACACATAAGATTTCAGTGCACAGTTTTAGAAGAGCCTAAAATACACAGACTTTGAAGAAATAAATTGTCAAACTGCTGCAATTTCTTTGTTGGCTCCATAGGACCAAGCAACACTAAAGGGAATAGGTAGGTCCCCGCCAACCACCTGGAGGGAGGTAACACACTGGGGCCTGTGTTACAAGTGGACACGTTAAGGAGGGGAATTGTTCTCTTTCTTGGAGTCTGACGCCAGACTGACCAGGCCTGCAAGGTGGGGCGGTGGCTGGAGACGTCGGGGCTGGGGAGCGATCTGCCCACGCCGCATGGAAACCAACCAGAGCTCTGGAGACTGTGGCTGGGAGACAGGCACCCAGGACGGCCCTGACCTGCAGGCTCCGAGCACAAGCTCTGCAGCCGTCCCTGTGAGCGATCTTCCCTTTGTCTGGATCCTGTGGGACAGTCCTGCCCGAAGCCGCATCCTCCTGCCACGGTCTCTGCCGCGCCCGGGAGGACTGGGGGAGCCTGCCCCGTGTTTCAGGAGGGGGCGGGAAAGATCAGCGCCAGCACTGGTGGGTCTGAGAAGGGACAAGGCCAGCATCTGAGGAGGACGAAGAGGGCGTCCGAGACCATGGACACAACAGTGAGGGGGTTAGAGCAGCAGGACAGGGAGGAAGCTGGGGCCTGACCGCGACCCCCCGAGGCAGCACCCAGGACACTCTCGGACTCAGGGGGAGAGGGGAAGTCTCAGGGAACCCAAGTTCCAGAAGGTACCATGGTTTGCATTACAGTTGTAACCATTTGAATATAAAAAGATACATTTTTTTCTAAAGGGGACAGACTTTTGGTTTACCCTCACATGTTAATTTTTAAGATTAACTTGTATTATTTGGGTAGAAGTGGGTTTTTTAACTGGCTTCTAAAAGGCTCTGAAGTATCAGTAGAGGAGCAAAGACCCAAAGCACCAGAAACGCAACTGGAAAAATTCGGAGGGTCCTCTGTTGACCACTCTGGAGGCTGTTTCCAGGCACAGAACGTACTTGACCGCCATCTAATGGCCAGGGTGAGTAGCTGTTTAGAAAGATCAAGGGGAAATCCTTCCAGAGGCATTCCATGAATGCAGCTTCTATTGTGCTGATACCGTGGGCCACACACTGTATTAGACACGGGAAGTAAAAACGGTGAACAAAACAAAAAAACCTCCATCTTCACAGGGCTAACCTCCTAACGGCAGGCGAGGGTAACATAAAGGAAAAAAACCATCTATAAGGTCAGGGGTCCAAGTGCCAGGCAAATAAATAAAACAGAATAAAAGGTCCAAGAGGTACATGGGGAAAGTGGAAGGGGACTGCCACTTTCTAGCAGCTGAGATGACACGCCTCTGGCTATTTGCGGGAGACCATTCTAAGTGACGCAAAAGCCAGTGAAGAGGCCCAGAGGTAAATTTTGTTCAAGGAGCAAAACGGGACCTAAGGCGCTACAGGATAGGGAAAGGGGGCACAGAGAGATATATTATATGTGGCTTTGGAGCCAGTGGTAGGACTTCGGTGTTTCCTCTGATTGGAACAGGAAGTATTGGAGAGTTTTGACCTGACCTGATTTGTTTTTGAAGAGTAATTCTGGCTGTTGGACTAAGAGTAGGTGCCAGAGGGCAGCGTCCCAGGCAGGCGGACAGATTGGAGGCCATCGCTGTGACCTGGAGACTAGGCCACAGGGGGAGCGGGTGGGGGACCGGGTGGGGGTCCGGGTGGAATCACTGGGTGCGGGGAGGGTCGGTCTGATCTCTGCAAAGGGTAGCCTTGGCAGGACTTGACGGCCGATTGGATGTGAGGGTTGAGAGAAAGAGGGGAGTCAAAGATCACCCCAGGGTTTTGGGCCCAAACTGTCATTAGCTGAAATGAAGAGCCCGTGGGCAGGGAAGGCTGAGGGGATGAGGGGAAAGGGTGAAATTGGCGCTTTGGTCTGAGACGGCTGCGACACACCCAGGTAAAGAGGATGAGGAAGCCGCTGGATAATGTCTCTGCAAGTCAGAGGGACGGTTGGGGCTGGAGATACAATTGTGTGGGGTCATCAGCCCACAGAGGTCCTTTCAAGTCCTGAGCCTGCATGAGGCCACCAGGGAGGAGTCTGGGGACCCGACAAGTTCAACAACTTGCCTGTAATTGCAAAACTGCTAAAGGCAGACGTGAGCCTACTGACTCCAAAGACCTAGAATTCAAGGGAATGCTCTGAAAAGATTTGTCGTGGCCTGTGTATGCAGAGACCTGGCTCCTGGCCCCAGCTCAGCTGATGACCTGCTGTGACATCTGACCAAGTCCCCTGGCTTCTCAGGGCCTCCACACTCACTTCCGTTGGCCCTCTGGGCACGCCCAAAGTTAAAGGATGGGTCAAAGATTTCCAGCTCCATAGCTGACAGCTTTGGGCCCTAAAGCTCCCATGATCACACCCACAGATCAGGCACAACCCTAAAAACAGGGACTGGTGACTGGGAGCCAAGGGCTTTGCTTGGCTGGGGAGCTGGGTGGGGAGGGGCACCCGGGAGCACATTTCTTTGCCACTCTTCAGCTCTACCAGCCTCTCTCTGCCTGACCTCGACCTCTAAGACTGGGGTCTCCACGCAGAATTCTACTAGCACCTTTGTGATGTAACAAAATTAAACCTTTGGTTTTTGTCTCCAATTCCTGGCGCACGGCTGCTCCCACCGTTGGGTTCCTGGAGTGAGGAGAGGTCCTTCGTACACCAGTGAGAGGAGTGGGGGCCTCTCGGGAACTTCAGAATGGAGCCTGGTCACCAGGAAGACCAAGGTGGCACCTGCGGGGCATGGGCTGGAGATGAACTCAGTCACGAAGGCCAGGGAGTTCGGACATGTCTGGAAATGAGCCCTCCATGAAGGCCCCTAAACCTCGCATGGTGCACCTCTTCCTTGTGGCTGTTCCTGGCTTCTCTGCTTTCTAATAAACCAGTAAGTAAAGTGTTTTTCTGAGTTCTGTGAGTCATTCAAGCAAATTATCTGACAGGGTGTCACTGAGACCTCCGATTTTGTTGCCAACTTGTACAGAAAGGTCGGTGACCTGAAATCTGCGGTGGGGAGCAGGTCTGAGGACTGAGCCCTTAAACCCATGGGACCTGCTCTAACTCCAAGTAATTGGTGTCAGATTGAGCTGTAGGACACCCAGCTGGTGTCCAGAGAGCTGGTGTCGGCACTAGGCAGGGTCAGGAGGAAATCAAACCACATCGCACCCCTCCTCCAGGCCACACCTCCCCCCACACGGGGTCCCAGGGCCTCCAGGGGGGGCTCAGGTTCTGCTGATCAATCCACCTCCTAGGGCAGCACTTTCCTCTCCTGGTAAGTCTGGCTGTTGAATGTCCTCCCGTGTGCTTATTGGCCATTTTAAAAAAATTACATAACATTTTTAAAGGTTGCTATTATCTTTTGCTTAAATTCGAGCCTCTTGGCAAACCTATATTGTCCCACTTAATAGGAGAGCAAACTGAGGCTCAGAAAAAATGAATCAGGCGCCCAGGGTGTCTGTGTCCAGGTCAGCAATGCACTGAAGCACCTGAGGCCTGGGCTTCTCCAGCCCAGGTCAGTTCAAGGCATCCCCAGGAGCTACTACACTCAGGGAATGAATTAGATGATGTCACTCCTCTATCTATAGACTTCACTTCTGCGGATTCTGCAGAACAAACAGAAAGCTCCCCAGAAGCCTGGTTGTGCAAGGATGAGGCAGGGGTTGTTCCCCTTTTGGGTGGGAAGTTTACCAGTTGAGCGCTGAGCTGCCCCTGGTCAGAACGCAACCTCAATGCCCCCATGGCATGGCAGGAACGCACTGGAAGGAAGCCCAGAAAGCTATGAGAGGCTGGGGAAGAAACTCCCTAAACCCACTCAAGTGCCCCAATGAGGAGCTGCGTGGGTGGACTTAGTGGACCCACCCATTCTAGGAGATGGGTTGGCCCCCCCCCCCAGCTTCCTGAAGATCCTCAGCCATGGCTCTGTGGGCAGGCCCTGGGTAAGGGACAGGAAGGGTGCTCGTGCAAAGATGTGTGTCCCTCCATGTTGCATGTCCCTGCACCCAGCACAGCAGCCCAACTGACTTGTGCCCCTGGCTGACTGCAGTGTGGCCTGTCTGGGGGTCTGGCTCTAAGTTCGTGCTTTGCCTGGGACTCTCATGACCCCTCCCCCCACCTGGCCACACCCCTGTGTGGTTTCCACAGAAAGACTTTCTTCCCACTCTGCTTCTCTTAGAGCGCTCTTCCTGGTTGGAGCCCAGGCCCAGGAGGAGTCTAAGGAGACCTGAGTGCAGCCCTGAGCCCAGGCGGGGGCTCCTTCCTCCTTCCTCCGACCCCCGCTCCTGTCACATCCCTGCACCAGGCTGCTTCCAGGACTCCAGGGCCGAGAGGGAGGACTGAGGAGCACAGAACAGTGAGTGTCCCCAACATCCAATCCCTCTGCCCCTCCCTGCGTGGCCCTGACTGCCCCAGCCCAGACCCAGCAGCTCAGTAACCTGGCCTCTCCCATGTCCCCCAGCCCCTCTCCACCCCTCCTTCCCCTGCCTTTCCCTCCCTCTCCCCCTCACCTCCCTTCTCCCAATACCATCCATTAGCAGACCCTGGGCCTTACAAAGTGGGTTCCGAATGCTGAACAGCAGTTTACCAGGGAAGATAACTACCCAAGCGGGAGTCTTGCACTGAGAGATGTTTGGGGCCAAAAGTGAGCACTATTCTCTGCCTGTCTGATGATTCTCACCACACCCCTTCCCCAGTGAACATCCCCAAAGCAAACCAAGCCGACACTGAGACGACCAGTGGAGCAGACAAGGCCCGTGCCTCAGGCCAACCTGAGGGAGCAGACAAGACCAGTAGTGTCCAGCAGCAGCTGACCCACAACTTACAGTTAATGACGAAGAAGCAGCTGAGGGAGTTCCAGCACCAGCTGCCTGACCAGGATGTCTACCACTGCTCTCCTGAGACCATCCCTTACCCCGAGAGTTCGAAGAGCATTCAGTACGGGGAGCAGCAGGCCTGGGACCTGGCCCTGCAGACCGAGGAGCAGATGGGCCCAAGCGAGCTGTGTGCCCAGATCAGGAATGAGGCCGCCTTGGAGTCAGGTGAGTAGACAAAGCGCCCTCTGCGTGCTGTCCATCTGCTGCCCCGCCCCCATCCCCACTGAACCCCCTGCCGACCTGCCTCTGGGCAGTGACTGAGGACTTCCTTGTCAGAAAGGGAGACCCAGCTCAGACTAGACTGGTGCTGAGGGGCCTGCTGGAGCAGGGGGGCCGTCCTGGAACCCACTTCTGCCAAGTGCAACCCCAGAAACCCCTGTGGTCACCAGAAAACCTAGGAGGGAGAGCTCAGAGCGCCAGAGAGACCAGAGGCTGACACTTCAAAGGAACCAGCAGGAAGCATGTGGGTTTCTCACCCACCTCAAGGTGGAAACGTGCCCGGCCTTGTGCTGTAAGCACAGAAGGGAGTCTGCGAGAAGCAGGTTTGATCCTGACACCACCACATTGGGCAAGTCGCTTCGCTGCTCTCTGCATCTGTATCCCCATCTGTAAAGTGAGCGAGTGAGAGCCTGCTTCCTAGACAGTAGGAGGGTTAAAGAGAGAATCCGTGCTAGACATTTAGGACAGAGTCTAACTCCTAGCAAGTGCTCCATAACCTGCTCTGCTGCTACTGTGGCTGCCTCTGTGGATGTTATTGCTAATAGCAGCTGTGGGGGGCAGAGGCTTTAGCCTCCTGTAGGGGGAGCTGAGGCACAGAGAGGAGTCCTGAGTTACACGGGGAGGGAGAGACAAACTTCCTGCAGCCAGGTCAGGACACCTGCCGGCAGGGCCCGGGCTCCCTTCGGCAGCGAGGGCCTGGGGCAGGCTGCAGTGCGTGCACTGGTCTCTCCTCGGAAGACAGGGTCTCTGCCTTCTGGTTCTTCTTGGTTGGAGGACCCCGGGGTCAGTGCCCTGGCTCCTGCCCACCCTGCTCGCCAGTGTCACCCTCCTTACCTGCTTCCCACAGCTCAGTCTCCCCCATTCCTCTACTTCCTGGTTCCAATGGCACTTTCCTACAGGGCTCCTCTCCACCACGGTGCTGAAACGCTTTGACCCTGGGTCCTGGGGCTCCCCCAGAACTTAAAAATAACTTGAAACTCTTGTCTGATATATGGACAGACATGGAAATGGGAGGCTTGCTGAGTTGGCATGAGAGCCCCAAGTGGGGCTGCAAGGCAGCCAGCAGATTCCCACCCAGGTGAGCCTGTGGCTGCACGAGGACCTGGGCCAGGAAACTATGTAAGGAGGACGGAGGAGGCAGGATGAGGTGGTGGGGTCAGTAGGCCTAGAGGGCTCTTTCAGGAACACTCCAGTGTTGAGACCACACCCCCTCTGATTTGACAGATGGCAGCCTGAGGCCCAGGCAGGGAGCCTCCCCCAACCAGGTGCCACGTGCAACATGGTCCTCGCCCGGGCACAGCTCGGGTGCTGATCTCAGTGGACTCTGAAGTTCCGTGGGGCAGGGTGGTAGCAAGTTCCCAGGAGGCCTCTGATCTCCAGGTGCTGCCCAGGAGGAGGGCCGGCGTATTCCTCAGCCCAAGTCCAACTCCGCTCCTGCCTCCTCTCATCTCGGCCTTCGCCATGCTAGTCACCAGGCTGAAACCTCTGCTCCACCCTGGCCTCCTTCTCTTTTCCTCCCAGCATCCAAATCCACGCTCACACAGCGCTTGGAAACAGAGCCAGGGCTGGAACCTAGAACCAGCGATTTCTCCCTCGAGTCTGCTGCTGCTTCGGGAGGACCCACCCCGTTTCCATGTCCCCCGTTTCCGTTCCCCTTCCTTCTGTGCCCGCTCCCCCTCCTCCTGCTCCCAGGCCCTGGCACTGATGGTCACAGGCTCAGGTCCATTGTCTGATACAATTACAGCTAATCCTGCTCTCTTTTGGTTTCCATTTGCATTGACTATTTTCCCCATCCCTTTCCTTTAGCTTATGTGTGTCCTTAAAGCTGAAGTGAGTCTCTTGCAGGCAACATACAGTCAGGTCTTGGGGCTTTAATGTTAGTTTGTTTTGATTTTTTTATCCATTCAACCACTCTATGTCTTGTGATTGGAGAATTTAATGTGTTTACATTTAAAGTGATTATTGATAGGTAAGGACTTGTCAGTGTTTTTACAGGTTTTATGTACTTCCCTTATTCCTTCCTTTCTTGTGGTTTTCCAGTGTGATTTAATGACTTTCTATAGTGGGACCTTTCTCCATGCTTCTTCTGTGTCTGCTACCGGTTCTTGCTTTGTGTCCACCATCAGATTTCCATAAAACATTTTATACTTATTACAGCCTATATTAAGCTTATTACAACTTAGTTCAATCACATACAAAATTTTTTTATGCTGCCCCCATATTTTATGATTTTGAAGTCACAATTTACATATTTATATTGTATATCCATTACCAAATTATTTTAACTACAGATATTTTAATATTTTGTCCTTTTCTTCCTCTTGGACTTTCACTCTTTTAATTTATTACTTCAATATAGTAAAAAATACTGTGGTAGAAAATGAAGCCACACAAGTAATAAATTTGTTAAACTCCATCCTTTAGGCATTGAGTATTCAGGAAATGCCGAAGTCATTGCTCTCCCATCAATAAGTCAGAACTTTCCTCAAAATAAATACACACAGAGTCTTGTCATAATGCTTTTTATTCCAGTATCCACACAACTGAGTATGAAAGTGTAGGAGGTCTCAAGACCCCTTCTTCAAATGGAGGAATGTGCTGTCTCATGACTGTATATTTAAACTGTAAAGAAGTTCACCTGTAAAAAAAAAAAAATTTGCAACTTCTTCATAAACGTTCTGTGTCTCTTACTACCAATCACATATTCTTTGGTAAACCCTGGAAAACTTCCCTGTAAAGAAAATTTATACATAAATATATAATGTGTGTGTGTAGATAAATAGATAAATATAGTCTGTGTTTGTGTAAACTGTTAGTAGCTACCCTTCCTGAAAGATTAAGGTGTTTTCCTTAATCATCGGTATTAGTATCCACAAATGAATGCAGGCTCATATTGCTTTAGGAATTAAGTACATAGTTGTGAAATTTAAACAAGCCAAGGGGCAAGAGGAAAAATAACTAGGCCAGTGGTATATTTGGGATTAAAATACCAAAACGTCTGCCTTTCGAATCAGCTGCCCCTCTTGCAGGTTGACCTTCAAGGGAATCTTTCCTTTATCGCAAGCACAGCCCCAGAGGCAATGGACGGCGCCCTCACTGCTGCCTCACCGGGCGGTTCCTCTATGAGCCGTAGAATGAGGGCCGGGGTGGCAAAGGGGAGGCAGACAGAAACGAAGGACCTGGACGGAAAGGTCGACCAGGCAACGGGAGCCAACAGAGGAGAAGCCGCTGGACAGATAGCACACGCAGGAGACAGGTGACCCACCGTTACTCCTTGGAGCCCCCTGCTTGGCTCTGGGGGCCTAAGTGTGGCGCCAGGGTCTGGAGGTGGCAGGGTCCGTGGGGAGACACCACTGAAGCCCTCCAGTGAGGCGCAGCTCCTTCCATGCTCACTGGGGAAGACGGCGCCTTTCCGTAGCATCCCAGGAACTGTCCATGGTGGTCAATCCGCCACTGCCAGATGCAGCAGACATTCTTCACAGGCTGCACCTTGAAATGTTAGTTCTTCCCTGATGCTTTGAGAGACTGGGACAAGTCACTGGGCAAGGATTTACTGTCCCCAATGAGGAAGTCGCCATCCAGAACCACTCACTAAGCGTGCACCTGGCCTTACGGCACGTTGTTCCCATAGTACCACTCTCTGCCTGCAAAGTGTCCCCTGCCCCTTCCCTGAATAGTGGATCTATGGGGCATAGGATGGGGACAGGGCTGGTCTGTCATTGATGACCTCCACCTAGTGTTGGTAGACATGGCCGACCTGTCCCCACGCATCTTTGCATTTCCACCACTCCGGGTCATTCTCAAGCTTCTCTATTAACTCCATGGTCTCTCCCTTCTCGAAGGTGAGCTTCTCGGTGACTGAGCTGAAAGGGTACAGTTTCTGGACCACATGCAGGACTTGGGTGCCTTGGTCATTGCTCAGGCGGGCCCTTCAGTGGGCTCAGGAAGCCGGAGGACTCAGCAACCAACTCTTGTACTTCTTCCAGGACTCTCAGTCACATAGGCAAATTTTAAAATGTCTCAGATGTTGAGGTCATAGATGTAGCTGGTGCTGCTCCATTGTGGGGTACTCAGCATCTGTCCTGGGTGTTAGGGACATGCCCCACATTCTGGTCAATCTCTTGGTCTTGCCGAGGCCTACTGTGTCCTTCAGTTTCTTCACAAGGGAGCTCTTCTTCAGGCTGTTCTTCCTCTCCACATAGTTGGACGCACGCAGCTTGCCCTGCTGACCACATTCTTCATCCACCACCACGTCCTGGAGTCATTCAGCAGCCACTGTGCTGGTTCTCCTTGATGTCCAGTTCCAGGTTCTGTTGGGCAATTCGTGCCCCCTGGCTATGACAACAACTTCTGCCAACTTCTGTCATCTTTCACAGAGTCTGCCTTTGGGGCTCAGTTAAGAGAGAGGACTAGCAACACAGAACTTCTCAAAAGGTGAATGTTTTAGCTAATTTCACTTCTGAAGTTACAAAGCTGCGGGTATTCCCCAAATTCTCAAATCCCACTCAAATCCCACTCTGATCTGGAATTCCCTTGTAGAAAGGGAACATATCCTATCTGAACTGTCTGAAAAGACAGGGATCGACTCCACAAATATTCTCACATTGTCCCGGAAGCTGTCACACTGCTAAAGTCAGGTCCTGATCTTCATCACGCAGTGACCGCAGCATGCCCCAAAGACTTCCCAAGGCCGCCGCTACTGTCCTGCCGCCAGTGCCTCCACGCGCCCTTCGCCAGCTCCCAGGAGTTGCTCCAGCCTGACAGCCCCTCCCCCACACGGCACACCGCGTCTTGGCTTTGCCGTTACTTTTCTCCTTTAACCATTCTTCTAGAGTTATTTACACACCATCATTACAGTATCGCATATTCCAAATTTGACTACATATAAAATTTACCTTTACCAGTGCTATTTATACTTTTATATGTTTTCATGTTACCAGTTAGCTCAGAGAACTCCTCTTCGCATTTCCTGGAGTCATCGCTAGTGGTAATGACTCCCTCAGCTATTGTTTATCTGAGAAAGTCTTTATCTCTCCTTCATTCTGAACATTTGCTGCGTAAATTAGTCTCAGCCGACAGCTATTTTTCTTTCAGCACCTTGAACATATCGTCCACTCTCTCCAGGCCTGTGAAGTTTCTGATGAAAAACTCTGCTCATACCCTTATGGGGGTGCCCCTGTTTGCAATGAGCCACTCTGCTCTTGCTACTTTCATATTCCCTTTGTTTCTGAATCCTGACAATTTTATTATAATGTGATAGGTGAAGTCCTTTTGGGGTGGAATCTTTATGAGGACCTATGAGTTTCATGTACACATCTTTTTGCAGATCTGGAATTTTATATAACTTCCACATCATGATATATTACTCTTCTTTGACTTTTCAACTATTTAAAAAAGTAGCAACTATTCTTAGGTCACAGACTGTACAACAGGTAGCAGTCTAGATTTGCCATGAGTTTGCCAGCTCTTGGTCAAAAGAATAATATTAATGTGTAACTTATTAGAGGTATTGGTGGTAGGAGGAGAGTTTTGAAAATTTTACTAAGTCAAGAGGATTTAGGTATGTGTCATGCAGATCCATTAACCGGGATATTTGGAGAACATGGCACCAAAAAGCCCAAAGCTGTCTAGTGGCCCCTCAGGCAGACGCAGGATTCAGGGCAGGGTGGGCCAAGACCATGACTCAGAGCGGCCGTAGCCATGCCTGGGGAGGCCCTCAAAGGCCAGGCAGGTGCGCCAGGAGACAAGAAAGTGGATCAGTAGATCATGATCCAGAAGCGGGGTGGCCCCCGGTACCCCAGTCGCACCAAGCTAAAGGGGAAATTGACCCCACATACTCTGGAGGTCCAGCAGGTTCCCCAAGATAAAAAGGGAGTCAGGGTCCCACATGAGTCACCTGCATCATCTGAAGCTTCCACTTAAGGGGAGAAGTGGGAGGCACTCAAAATCTTCTGAAGGGAAAAAGGAAGGGATGGCAACAGTGAGTCTACCTGGAATCTCACTAAGATGTGAGCTTGAGGCCCCTCCCAGGGGACCATCCCTGACACGTGCTCAGTGCTCAGTGCTCAGCCCCTCGCCGTTCACAAACCACTTTCCCGATGGTCCAGGTGCTTCCCCCCAGAGGCAGACCTGACACTCCTTGGAGAGCAGGTGGCTCATCGGGGACCTGGCTCCCTGGAAGCAGCATTAGGGGAGAGAAGTGAGCCAGGGAAAGGCAGGAACCAATGCCACCTGTGGTACAGAGCACCTACCCCTGTGACTGACTGAGGTTTGACACACTCGGGGTCTTCAGGAGACAGTGTAGAGCATATGTTGGGGACAGTTGTCTCCCCTGGGGGACAAGGAACTGCCATCTGTCACTGGCGGAGCGCCCCTCTTGGAGCACCAACTCCCCAGGGGTTCTGGCCTGTCACACTCATTGCCTGAGAGAGAGGCCTCAGACAGACAACCACAGGTGCTTGTAGAAGAGCACCCTTGGCGTGGGCCTCCATGGGGGCCGCTGAGGGGCTGTCAGGAACCCGTGCCGTCTGCCACACCACCCGTAGCCCCTGCACTCCTCCACGACCACTTACAGTTTACAGATGAAGAAACTAGTCCTCAGTGGGGCAAATAGCTCAGGTCATGCAACTAATGTGAGCAGGGAGTTGTATTTGTTTTATTCACTCTCTATGCCTAGCCTCTAGATCAGGGCCCGGCAGTGTAAGGCCTTATTTAATGTTTGCGGAATGGAAAATATCACATAGTGAAAATAATTTGATCAAGAATTGGCTGGGGTCTACTCCCCAAAAGCCCATGTTTCTTCCATTGACCTGGCAAGAATGTACCACTAGCAGCCATTAGCACGTGGTATAGCATGTGGGTTCAGAAAATAGTTGTTAAACAAATAAGCGGTGAAACAAATGAACAAATATATTCTATACCTATATGTTCCATCTTTCCCTCCCTCCTTTAGGATTCACAGAAAAGTTCCAGAAGCAAAAGAGAGAGAGTCCCAGCCCCACACAGCCATGGAAAAATGAGGATTTCCACCAAAGATTCACACAGCTGCTACTTCTACACAGATCTCAACCCAGAGGCTATGATATCTCACCCTGGATTAGGAATCTCCAGTTGATAGATTATCAAAAACATCTCATTGATGTTAAAAACTTATTCGGACCAGGCCCGGGTACCCAGAGAGAGCCTCCCACAGTCGTACTGCATGGGGTGGCTGGAATCGGGAAGTCAACCCTGGCCAGGCAGGTGAGGAGAGCCTGGGAGGAAGGCCGGCTGTACAGGAACCGCTTCCAGCATGTCTTCTACTTCAACTGCAGAGAGCTGGTCCAGTCCAGGACAATGAGTCTCAATGAGCTCATTTCAAGAGACTGGGCTGGCCCTGAGGTTCCCATTGGACAGATCCTGTCTCAGCAGAAGAAGTTGCTCTTCATTCTTGATAACTTGGATGAACCAGAATGGGACTTGGAGGAGCACAGTTCTAAGCACTTTCTGCACTGGAGCCTGCAGCAGCCGGTGCACACACTGCTGGGCAGCTTGCTGAGGAAAACCTTACTTCCCGAGGCTTCCCTGCTCATCACAGCTCGGATCACAGCTCTGGGGAAGCTCATTCCTTATTTAAAGCAGCCACGCTGGGTGGAGGTCCTCGGATTCTCTGAGTCAGCCAGGAGGGAGTATTTCCATCAATACTTCACAGATCATAGCAAAGCAATCAGAGCCTTTAACTTGGTTGAATCAAACCCGGCTCTCTTGACCATGTGTGTGGTGCCCTGGGTGACCTGGCTGGTCTGCACTTGCCTGAAGCAGCAGATGGATCAGGGGCAAGAACTCTCACTGACCTGCCGGACGACCACAGCCCTCTGTCTGCACTACTCTTCCCACGTTCTCCAAGCTCAGTCCCTCGGGACTAAGCTGTGGGATATCTGCTCTCTGGCTGCTAAGGGCATCGGGCAAGGAAAGACCCTGTTCAGTCCGGAGGACCTGAGAGAACACGGGTTAGATGAGGACATCGTCTCCGCTCTCTTGAAGATGGGTGTTCTTCAGGAACACCCCACCTCTCTGAGCTACAGCTTCATTCACCTCTGTTTCCAGGAGTTCTTTGCAGCAATGTCTTGTGTTTTAGAGGGTAAGAAGTTAATGAGCATCAAAAGTATGAAAGAGTTGATAGGAGAACGTGGGGTGGTTAGTGTGTTTGGGAAACCAACCACGTGTTTCCTATTTGGCCTTCTGAGTGAGCAGGGCATGAGAGAGACAGAGAGCATCTTCAAATGCCAGCTCTCCCAGGACAGGTATCACAAGCTGCTGCGATTGGCCAAGAAGGAGGCCAACCTCACACAGCAGAAACTAGGACCATATTGTTGGCACTTGTTCCACTGTCTTTACGAGATTCAGGATGAAAAGTTTCTGACAGAAGTAATGTCCAATTTCTCTGGAACAAGTACACGTGTCCAAACTGACATGGAGCTCCTGGTGTTCACCTTCTGCATTAAATTCAGCCGGCTCGTGAAATGGCTTCAACTGAACGAGGGTGGACCGCACCGACAAGCACAAAGATCTTCAGGTGTTGTTCTGTGAGTGCTCCCCCTCCCTTCCCTCCAGCTCCTCTGTTGTTCCCACTCTCCTGGCCCCGGAGGAACCAGAGCTAAGCCTGGCCTCAAGTTGCTAAAGGACTGAGTCACCAGGGACTTCTAACGGCCACTCTGACTCCCATTCTCTCTCCACCGAGGATCCTGAGCCGCAGTGTCTGAATACGTGACCTTCCCTAATGCACCTGCGGTGGCCCTGCCTTGCACTGCTGCTCCTCCTCCCGCTCGAGCATGACATCCACCTTCGCTCCTGGTGCGCGTCCCCCCCAGGCTCACGTCAGCTCCCATCTACCCAGCCCACCTGCTCTACTTCTCCCTCTTGACACGCTTTCCTCCAGGCACTGCTCACTCAGCTGCTTCAGGCACCCCCTCGATGGATGTTCACTACGACATTAGCCCTAAGATCTCTCCCTTCACCTCAGAGTGTGTGTCTCCAAAATAGAGTCTCATTTTCTTCTGCAAAAGCTATTTACTTGTGTGTGTCCATGATGCACAGTTGCCCCAGGGACTCCACTGAAACCCTCCACCTGAGTGTGACCAGGTGGCTCTCTCCGGCCACTGTCCAAGCCCAGCAACCCCGTGAACTTCCACATCTGGGTTCCCCACCTCAGTGGCAGTATTGACCCCTTAGTTCTTTGAGGTGCCTTTCCCCCGCATAGATGATTCACTCCATAAACATGTATTACGCACTGATTTTATGGCAGGCCCTCCAGATCACAGAGTAATGAAGCATATACCTGTTTCAAGGAAACTGAATCTGGGAGAGAAGACAGATATCCATCCAGTAACTGAAATAGAGTAAAAAGCCTATGATAAGAGAGGCATAGCTGAGGCAGGATGGGGCCAAGGAAGGGAGGGATCACATGAGGGCACTACAACAGAGGCTCTGAGGAGGAAATGTAGGACCTGGGTGTCTTATTTTCAGATTTATAAAGTTTCTTTCTAATATAAAACTCCTTATGTTTGTTGTAAAAAAAAAATGAGGACATCTAAATAAGCAACAAGGTCAAAATTAAATATAAACGTGAATTCTATCACTCAGACGTGACCATCAATGAAAATGGAGGTATACGTCCTCTAGTCTTATTTTTATGCACATTTCTAGAAAAAAACTGAGCCATACTATACATTTTATTTTATAGTCAGCACTATTTCTTTATTTTTATATCAAGACTCTCCTCTCATGTTATCGAGTAGCCTGACACAACGCCACTTGAATGACCAGATGGTATCCCGTAGGGAAGGTGCCATGACTATCTGACCATTATCTATCCTCTGGTACTTAGCTTATTTCTAGCTGTTATGGTTACAAAGGTGAACTGGTCTTTAAAGGACCTAGGTCCAAGTGTCACATGGGTGGTGGCCTTCGGAAGAATCCTGAGCAGGCACCTCTTGACACCTCTGCCTCTGGAGGCAGAGGCGAGGTAGCAAGAGAAGTCAGGGCACCAAGACAAAGAGGAGAGTTTGCAGGGGGCGGTGGCACCTGGAGTCCGGAGCCACTGCCATGGGCGTGTCGGAGGCTGCGGCTGCTGCGGGCGGGGAGGCGGGGAGGACCCTGAGTCCGCCCGGCAAGGCAGGAGGATGGCAGGGAGGGCACTGGAAACACACGAAAAGTCCCTGAAGAAATGACAAAGGCTGGCCTGAGGCTGTGGGAGGAGGACGAGGACCAATAGGAGACAGTAAGGATGAGCAGCTCCAGTATTGGTTTGAAATTAAGCACTGTGCATTTGGATAATAAATTTTTAATTTTTCCTTTTAGTCTCTCTGATTAAAGATTATCATTGGCAAGCATTCAAAAAAACAAAAAGTTTAAAAATGTGTTATTCAGCTTTTCCAAAACTAAATAAATACTTACGAAAATAAATTGCTAGGGGAGGGGTACAAGGGGACTAAAAGGTAATAAAAAAATACAATAAACAATTTAAAAAAATAATAATTAATGTAATAAAAACTAAAAACTAATAATCAAATGGTAAATTGTTTGCTACCTTAGCAGGATGTATATGTCTTAGAGCTGTTAATGTTACAACCACACTGAGATTTGCGAAATTCTCTGTAACACTTTGAAATCCTCATGGAACCCTCTAGAGTAGGTCTTCTTGGCCCCTTCTTGCAGCGAGGAGAGTGAGTGAGGCGCAGACAAGTGGAATTCACACGTGCAGACAGCTGGCCCCAGAGCCTCTGCTCCCGCCTCCGCACAGCCCTGCAGGCATGGCGGGAGGATGAATGGAGTTGGGGGCATGTCAGGTCAAGGCGCTACGGGGCTGTCAAGGTGGAGATACTTGGCAAGAAAATAGAGATGTCAGTTTGTAACTTGAAATAGAGTCAGAGTCACTGAGCCTCGGTATTAGATAAAATCACTTAAAAAGTGTGCAAAAAGGTAGAATCTAAATTAGTGGAAATGACCCAAGGCGATCTACACTGAAACTCCCAGACAAGGACCATCATCCTCTCCCCACATCTGCAAAGGTCCTCTTCTGAGACAGCCCCCCTTGCCATCTCTCTCCCGGACACCCTCTGTGTCCTGCTATCCTGACGGGGTAGGGTCCCACTGAAGCTGGATGGCAGCATAATAGACATATACACCAAACCCATCACAAAATCATCTTTTTTAAAATTAATCTTTATTGTATTTTTTCCATCACCATTTTCTCCTCTTATTACCTCCTCCCCCCTAGCAATCACCACACTATCGTCCATGTCCATGAGTCCTTTTTCTTTTTTGCTCAATACCTCCAACTCTGAACCTCCTCAGGTCCCCAGCTGTCCTACAAAATTGTATGTAGAAATACCTGTCCCAAACTCTGTTCTCTTCTCCAAACAACTCCTTTCCTTTCTGGAAGCCAGGACTTCATAGCCTCTGAGCCACAGGAAGAAAGGCAGGTCCGCGCTGAGGCGAGGAAGGCTGCCTGTTCCCCCAGCTCTGCGCCAGGCCCTGTGCCGGGCTCTGCAGATCAAAAGGATGAACAGTAGCCGCCCCTGCCCACAAGCATCTCCCAGACTGGGGCAGGGACAGGCCCACCAAGTGAGCCCTGCAGTGCAGGGTGGCGGGGGCAGTGCAGTGAGGGGCCGCGCAGAAGAGGGGCGCTTCGCCCTGGGAGGCGGGAGCAGAGCGCAGTCGGGGAGGCTGGTCAGCCCTGGGGGTCGCCCTGCCCACTGCAGCCTGGCGCTCGGAGCATCCGAACCCCACTGTGCAGGGCAGGGCTGTGCACACAACACCCCCCTCAGCACGCACACGGGTCACATCTTTTCACTTCTCTCTCCCCCTCAGGTCCAGCTTGCGCCCCTTTACAGATGCGGGCTGGCAGATTTTCTTCTCCCTTTTCAAAGTCCCTGGAAGCCTGAAGGAGCTGGACCTGAGTGGAAACTCCCTGAGCTGCTCTGCAGTACAGAGTCTCTGTGAGGCCCTGAAATGTCCTCACTGCCACCTGGAGACCCTGAGGTGAGTCTGGCCCCACTTCTGTCCTGAAACAGGATGGACAGGAGATCAAGACGGAAGTTGTGTCCAGGATCGGGGTGGGGTGTCCGTATTCAGCAACCGTTCCCTGAGCCCCTCTGGCCACGCCCTGCGCCAGGGCCATGGCTCCTACTCTGAGCAAACACAGATAGGGTTCCATCCTCACAGCGCCTGCAAGGGACCACCGTCAACCACACAAACACGCGTGTAATTTCAGGCCCAGGGAAGGGCCTCCCCTGAAAACTACCTAAGAAAGTGTGTACTGAAGGCCACCTGAAGAATGCAGGGAGTTTACCTGAGTGAGGCAGGAGGAAGGAAAGTTCAAAGCCCCCGTGCAGGAGGGAGGAAGGGCTGCCGTGGAGCTGAACACAGGCCAGTGAGGGTGCAGGATGGAGAGCGAAGGAGCAACAGGGCTACAGAGATCGCGCAGCCAGACCCTCTGTGCAAGGCCCTGATGGAATTTCTGGGGGTTTTTCTGAATGCAATGTGATTATAACCAAAAGGTTGAACAGATCAGTACATTTTCAAAGTAGAAACACACAACAATATTAAAAGAGAATAGAGGAGGGCAAAAGTAGAGGCTTGGAAACCATTTCATGGGACTATTTCAGTTGTTCCTATTAAAATGGTGAGAGCTTAAACTAAGGGAAATTAATATAGTCTCTGAATGTAATGGTTGTATCTTGAACTACAGAGTTAGCAATGGAAATGGAAAGAAGTGAAAGGATTGAATAGATCTAAAATAAATAAAATAAACCAGAATGAGTAATTGATTGGATTCACAAAGAAAGGAAGGTGGACACATAGAAGATGATCTTAGGTTCGGGCCAGAGGAACACATGCGATGGTGGCACCTTCACTGGGGTGGGAAATAGTAGAAGAGGAGGGGGTGGGGGATGGGGCGCCATGGGTGGGATTTTGTGCAAGTTTATTTCTAGTTCCTTTGAGGTATCCAAGGGGAATTATCAAACAGGTATCAAATAAAGCTTTATGCAAAAATAAGATGCCCCATGAAGCAGATATCAACAAATTTAACAGAATTAAAATCATATAAATTCTATTCTCTGAACATAATGGGATGAAATGGGAAATCAATAACAGAGGGAAACCTAGGAAATTCACACATACACAGAAATGAAACAACATACACCTAAATGATCAGGAGGTCAAAGATAAAAATCACAGGGGAAATTTAAAAACTTTGAGATGAATGAAAATAAAAATGCAACATACCTGTATACCAGTACATCGTTTATGCAGCTAACTCAGTGCTTAGAGGGCCATGTATGGCTATCAATGCCTAGATTTTAAAAAGAAGATAAAAGGCAAAACGACACACCCATGAGAATGGCCAAAATCTAGAACAAGACAACGCCGAATGCTGACAGGCGTGCCGAGCAACAGAAACCCTCGTACACTGCGGGTGGGAATGCAAAGTGATGTGGCCTCTTGGCAGATTCCTACAAAACTAAACACACCCTTACCATGTGGTCTAGCAATCGTGTTTTTCTTATTTACCCAAATGGGTTGAAAACCTATGTCCACAGTAAAACCTGCATATTGATTTTTATAGCACCTTCATCTATAATCGCCAAATCTGGAGAATAGCCAAGATGCCCTTCAGTAGGTGGGCTGATAAATAAATTGTGTACATCCATACAACGGAGCACTATTTACTGTGGGAGAAAATGAGCCACAAAACTATAAAAAGATAATATATATTATGATAATATTATGATAATAATATATTATGATAATATATATTATTATATTATCTTATATTAAGATAAAATATATAAAAAGATAAATATATATATTATATATATGAGAAAAACATAAATATATATTATCAGGTGAAAAAAAACAATCTGAAAAGCTGCATATTGTATGACCCCCACAACGTGAAATTCTTTAAAAGGCAAAAATATGAAGACAGTGAGAATATCTGTGATTGCCAAGGTAGGAGGCGGTAAGGGTGAACAGATAGAGCACAGTGACTATTCTGTGGGACAGTATAATGGTGGATACGTGTCATTTTGTATCTGTCAGAAACCATAGAATATAAAACACCAAAGTGATGTAAACTGTGAACTTTGGGTGATTACGGTGCATCAGTGTGGGTTCACTGATGGCAATAAATGTACTGCTCTGATGTCTGACATTGGTAATGGGGAAGCTGTGTATGTGAGGGCAGAAATATATAGGAATTCTTAGTGTTTCTGCCCAAATTTTGCTGAAGAACTAAAACCATTCTAGAAAAAGTCTATTTTGAAAGAATTATTGTTGCCAATATATCTCCTAGGGCAAGGGAAACAAAGGAAAAATGAATAAATAGGACTGCATCAAATTAAAAATCTGAAGAAGGGGCAGAAGAAAAAAAGAACGAGAAGGAAAAGAAGGAAAAGAAGAAAAAGAAGCTCAAATCAATAACTTAATGTTCCCCTCTGAGAATCAAAAAGAACTAAGAATGAAAGGAGCAAATATAGTGAAAAGCAAGCAGAAGAAAGAAAATAATATAAACTAGAGTGGGAACAAATAACACAGAAAATACAAAAACAATACAGAAAATCGTAACACCAAAAGGTAGTTCTTTGCAAAGATCAGCAAAATTGACTAACCTTTAGCTAGACTGCCTAGGTGAAAACTGAGATGACACAACTTACTACTATCAGGAATGAAAGAAAGGTTGTCACAGTTGACCTCATAAAAAATTTAAAAGAACTTTAAAGAAGTATCATGAAATGTTAAGCCAACAAACCAGATAACCTAAATGAAATGGACCATTTTCTACAAAAATGTAAACTACTAAAACTGACCGAAGAAGATTTAGGAAATCTAAATAAACCTATAACAGGTAAGGAGATTGAATCAGTGAACAAAACCTTCCCACAAAGAAAAGCCCAGGCCCAGGTGGCTTCACCGATTAATTCCCCCAAACCTTTAAAGAAGAATTAAACCAATATTCTCAACCTCTACAAAAAAGAAAAAGAAAAATAGAAGAGGGAATACTGGCCGAGTCATTCTATGATGGCGGCATTACCCTGATATCAAGTGCAGACATGAGACCACCAAACTATACCATACATAAGAATAAACTCAAAATGGATAAAAGACTTAAATATAAGTTATGATACTATAAAAACCCCAGAGGAAAACATAGGCAGTAGAATTTCAGATATTTCACCTAGAAGTATTGTTGCCAACATATCTTAGGGCAACAGAAACAAAGGGACAACAACTGAACTACATCAAATTAAAATGCTTTTGCATGGCTAAAGAAACCATCAGCAAAATAAAAAAAGAACCCACCATATGGGAGAACGTATTTGCCGATGATACAGAGGACAAGTGTTTCATCTCCAAAATATATAAAGAACCATTATGACTCAACACCAGGAAGACAAACAATCTGATTAAGACATGGCAAAGAACCTGAATAGAAACTTCTCCAAGGAGGACATAAAAATGGCCCATAAACATAGGCAATATTGTTCAACATCACTAGCCATCAGAGAGATGCAAATCAAAACCACCATGAGATTTAACCTCACACCTGCCAAAATCGTTATCATCAATAAATCAACAAACCAGAAGTGCTGGCGAGGATGTTTAGAAAAGGGAACCCTAGGGCACTGTTGCTGGGACTGCACACTGCTGTAACCACTCTGGAAAACAGTATGGAGTTTCCTCAAAAAATTAAAAGTGAAACTGCATTTTGACCCAGCAATGTCACTTCTGGGAATATATGCAAACAATTCTATGACACCAATTCAAAAGAATATATGCACCCCTATGCTCATAGCAGTGTTATTTACAATAGTCAAGATTTGGAAACAGCCTAAATGTCCATCAGTAGATGAGTGAATAAAAACAGCTGTGGTACACATGGATGAGGACAACGCACAGGAGGTCGGGGGAGGACTAAATATGGGAGAAGAGGGGTGGGCATGGCAGTGGAGGGTAATGGGGAAAAATGGGGACAACTGGAACCGAACAAGAATAAAAACTTTTTAGAAAGAGCTGTGGTACATATACGCAAAACTGGAATACTATGCAGCAGTAAAAAAGAATTCCTACTCTTTGAGACAGCTTGAGTAGAACAGGAGACTATTACACAAAGTGAAAAAAGTCAGCCAATGAAAGGCAAGTAACATATAGTCTCACTTATAATTGGAATCTAATGGACAAAATAAACTAAAATGCAAAATAGAATCAAAGGCACAGGAACATGGAACAGACTGATAGCTGTAGGAGGAGAGTGGGAATGTGGGGACTTGTTGAAAGAAGCTGGAGGGATTAGACAAAGAATATATGCATGACCCATGGACATGGACAATAGTGTGGGGGTTGACCGTGGGAATGGGGGTGGGGTGGGGGGCAAGGGGGCAAAGGGGAAAAATTGGGACAACTGTAATAGCATAAACAAGAAAAAGTGTTTTTAAAAAGCAGACATAGACAAGCAAAGTTTTTTTAATTACAAGGTATTAAAAAAACTACAGACCAAAATTTCTTATGAAAATCCTCAACAAAATACTAAAGCCATATAAAAAGAATGTTAAAGCATGACCAAGCAGTGCTTATACCAGGAGTGCAAAGTTGGTTTAAACCGAAAAACTGACCAAACTTGGTTTAACTCAGGAAAACTGATCAATGCAATATATCATGTCAATAGAATAATTAATAAAAGCTACATGATCATCTCAAAAGACATAGAAAAAGCAGCTGACAAAATCAAACACCATTTCACATTAACAACACTCTACAAACTGGACTACAAGGAAGCTATCTCAACCTGACAACAACCAGCTATGAAAAATCCATAACTAACTTTACACTCAATGCTGAAAGAAAGAATGTTTTTGCCCTTAAGAACAGGAACAAGGCAATACTCCACACTCTTCCCAAGTCTATTCAACATTATACTGGAGGCTTTATCCAGAGAAATTAGACAAGAGAATGAAATAAAGGTCTTCTATATTATAAAGGAAAAAGTAAAATGACCTCTGTTGGCACCTTACCTGACATATAGTTAGTATTTGCACCTTACATGATTATATTTTAAAAATCCTAAGGAATCCACAAAAAAAAAATATTAGAACTAATAAACTAATTAGCAAGCTTTCAGGATAAAAATTCAACATAAAACATAAATTGTACTGCATATTCACAATAAACAATCCAAAAATGTAATTATCAAAACATCATCATATACAATAGCATCAAAAAGTATAAAATACACAGGATTATTCAACAAAATTTAACAAAAGAGGAGCGAGACTCACATACTGAAAACTACAAAACATAATTGAAGAAATTAAATCAAAATAAGTAAAAGATAAGACATTCCATGTTCATGGATTGGAAGACTTAATACTGTTAAGATAGCCATGCTTTCCAAATGGATTTATAGGTTCAACTCAGTTTCTATCAAAATCATAGCTACCTATTTGCATAAATGGTCAAGCTGACCCTAAAATTCATATGCAAAGAAAAGTCTGCATGTCAAACTTTGGGGAACCCATCCTTCCCGATGTTGCATGGACAAGAGAAGTTAGCACCAATGCCTGAAGAGGAGCCAGGGAGGGGGGAAGAACGCCAAGGCAATGTGTGTCATGGAACTTCAGGGAGCAAAGAATTTCAAGGAGCATGTGGTCATCAGGGGCCATCGTTCCTGGCCTCCCAGTACAAAAGGTACTGAAAGTTGTCCATTGGATTTGTGACAGGGAAGTCACAGATGCCCCCAGCAGGAACAGATTTGTGAGGTGTTGAAACCAGAATCCAAATTGGAATGGACAGATTGTGAAAATGGAGGTAAAAATGAGACAACAGATACAAACACGTTATTCAAAGATTATGGTAGTGAAGAAGGGAAAAGAAGTAAAGCAGAAGGGAATGTGAGAATGAAAGGAGAGGTGTGTGGGCGAGGGTGTGTGCTTGGTTGATGGCACTGAAGAAGGAAAAGGCCTCAGTTTTCATATCTTTTGATAAGAATGATGAAAGATAAGGAAGAAAGCCTTATTCGTGGTCTCCCTTTCCCCAGAGGGAGGCAATGGGAGAAAACCCGGCGTTGGAGGAGTTGGGAACACCTCCCACTGTAAGAGGAGGGTACATGAAGACCTGGCAGAGACAGAATGGCCCATACGCACCTAAGTTTGACTATAAAAAGCTGATGGATTCCCATCTGATGACTCCACTTTTTCCTGTGAAGTAGGAATTCAGTTCTATTCTACAGTGTGAGGGCTGGGGTGTTGGAGGCTTGGGGAAGGTAAAATATGGCTATGGCCATAGCTGAGTGGGAGGTTTCCGCCTGCCTGGCATTGTAGGGGCCCATGTGAGAGGCACCGCGTGGTCTTAACGGCAGCCCCTGCCCTTGTCAGTCAGGTGGGAGGGAGAGTGGGGGACTGGGAGAGCGGCCGAGGTAGGGCGTCGCCAGAGGGACATGACGGGAGTTCAGAGGGTAAGACAGGCGATCGCACTGCCAATGGCTATATGCTAGATTCCAAGAGCAGTGAAAAAAAAAGAAGAAAGTGCTGAGAAATTGGGAGGAAGGAGACAGGCAAGGAACTGCTCACTGAAGAAGAGTCCTCGTGGGGTAAGGTGAGCAAGCAGAGGGCGGTAGTAAATCCAGACCCCACCTTTTATGAAATCATTCTAATGAGAACCACCTAAATCCAGGATTAAAAACCTTTAAGAGGGTCTCAGAAATCCTGGTTCTACCTTAAGCTTTACACCCAAGTGGGAAGACACCATTCTACAGTGCACCGCTCACATTGCAGTAGAATTTCACAATCTCAGGATCAATTCTGTATCCACTGCAAGGAATAACTTCTGTCCCCTCAAAAAACACCATGGAAATGGCAGAGCCTAGAAAGTTGTTTCCATTTTCCGCATAATAAGGGCTGAAGCTCGAGGACGTTAACTGACTTGCGCAAACTCACACAGCCGGATATGGGAGGGCTGGGACTAGACCCCAGTGAGTGCACAGCCAGCACCTCCTCCAACCCTTCACCCTGAAAGCCAGGATCTCAGTCACGCTGACTCAGTGAGGCAGTGTAATAAAAAGAAGTTTTCACAAGAATACTAACTCTGGACCAGGCAGGTGTGAATACTTCCTCACTAGAAAATTCACTCTATGAGAAACAACTCAAAGATTTACTGCCGTTGGATGTAAGAATGTCTAAGCCATTCAAAAAAAAAAAAAGTCCAAGCCAATGCTCGGATTTCTTTGAAATCAGTTGAACATGTTAGACTCAAGGATTCTGAGTGTTTTGTTTTTTATGAACATGCAAATGTGGGCATAGTACATGGACAAAGCAGAAGAAAGTGGTAAAAAATGAACTGTGGGGAAGGGTTGGAGATTGAAAGAGGTGATTCCAGAAAGAGGGGAGGCAGGAGGATATGGACTCAAAGACACGCCCCCTCGGGGACAGGAGCAAAAGAGGAGGGCTGCGGGAAAACGGAGACGGAGACACAAAAGAAAGTCAAGGGGTTCGCAGCGCCCTTCAAGCACCGTTCTAAACACTTGGGATGTGTTATGTCCTTTGACCTTGAAAACCACCATGTGCAATAGGCCGGATGAATTCCTGTTACAAATGAGCAAACTTGAAGATGAAGAAACCGGCACACAGTCTTCAAATAGTAAGTGACAGAAGACAAATTTGACACCAAGTCTGTGTGACATCCAACCAGGAGGAGAGTAACCAGGTCCCAATTTTAGTGTCTCCACCTCATTGAGAGCCTTTCCCACAATCACATCCCAGCCTCCTCCAGCAAGTACCGGCCGAGCACCCACTTCAGCTCAGGACCAGATTCAACACCCTCCTCCCAAGGCTTCTTAATTCACTGCGTTCTAAAGTAGACTTTCCTCCCTAAACAAAGAAAACCTGGCCCCCCTCTCAGGACCAGCTAGATAATCATAGGATCCAGGATAAAATGATGATGCGGTACCCTTACTCAAACATCAACCACCATGAGCCATTAAAGGTACGAACAGACAAAGCTCTAGTCCTTCCATCCCAGGCACTGTCTCTCTCATAAGATATTTTTTATTGGCTATTTAAAGTTGCCCTCCCTCTGGCATGCTGCAGGGGCGTGCAGACCCCCTCAGGTGCCTGAGGGTCCTACCCACAAGACAGTGCGACCGCACAACACTTGCCAGGTTTCTCCTCCCTCTAACCACCACACTCCTGCACCATGCCCTAGACTGGGTGGAAAAGGTAAGCCAGACTTCTCCTTCCCCCATGGCCCATCACTCCAAACCACAGTACAGAGAAGGTCACCAAAGACACCATCCAAACCCAAAGCACAGGCAAGTCGCCTCGCAGGACATTTCCATGAGGCACTAGGCATCTGAATCACAGTGGATGAGAGGCTTGTCCCAAACAAATAACCAAAAGTGCCATGCTGTTGTCACCAAGACATACTCTAAATGCCAGCCCTCATTCTCACCATTTCCCATGCCAGATGGGAAAACTGTTGAGGGCCCCAGAGCATCGAAGGCCAGGGAAGTGGGTGGCCCACAGAGGTGGGAGGTCGCAAGAGATGGGGACACACGTGAGACAAAGCTCCATTGTTCCATCAGAAGTTACTTACAAAACACAAATTCAAAGATAAAATTATTAAGGAATTCAAAATGGCAACCACAGAGCAATAACCCCCAACAACACAGGCTGTACATTTACAAGCCTGATGCTGCCTCCTCTCTCACCGATCCTCTCAGTACGACGTGGCAGCAGTACCAGTTCTGTACCTCCTCCAGAAGCCTCCCTGCCCCCACGTCTACAGAGGCACCGAGTGCTGTTGGGGCCACAGGAACGTGTCCCACAGGCACTGCTCCGACCCCGGTGCTCATCCTCCCCCACCTGGACACCGGCTTCCAGCCTCACCCCGTCCGACCATCCGCCACTCCCATCAGGGGTCGATCCCAGGCAATGCAAGGAACACATGGCCACCCTCCTCAAGAACGTTCACTGGCTCACCGCTGCCACCTGAACCAGGTCCACCCATCTAATAAGCACATTGAAGACCTGCCACCATCTTCATATTCTCTGTCTTTACTCTCAAACTTCCCTCCCCTCATGTAGTCTTTCTGACAACATCGCTAAACACGTGCTGTAGGCTCACATCCACCCTGCCAGCCTGCAGAGTCCCCTCCCTCCTCCTCGTCTAGGTGAGCGCTTACCCACCATCCAAGGCTCCCCTCACAGGTCTGCTCCTCCTTCCCTGGTGAATATTCGCCCTCATCCCTCTGCCTTCAGCTGCACCCGACACGCCCCTCTTCACAATTTAATCACTCCTTAACCACAGACTTCCTACGTCCCTACTATGTGTGCAACCCGCCCTAAGCACTGGGGTCCAATTAGACATATAAACTTCCTAATGGAGCGTACGTTCTCAAGGGGGAAACAAAAATCAAATGACTAAGTAAAACATATTTTATGTGATTTGGGCTATGGAGAAAAGCAAAGCGGAAAGGAATGGGGGCTAGGGCCCGGGCCGCAATTTTAACAGGAAGGGAGGTGACAGGCGATTTCCCCAGGGGCGCTATTGAGCGATTTGCTGAAGCGGGTAAGAGAACATGCCACCATAAGATACCAGGTGAGAGGACTGTCCCTGGCAGAAGAATGAGCAGGCGCAAAGGCCCTGAGACAGGACTGTGCCTGGAGTGTTTAAGGAACAGCGAGGAGGCCAGCGAGGATGCAGGTAAAAGGGATACAGGATGAGAACAGAGACGACAAGGAGCCACATCTCCAGTGCCCTGTAGTCAAAGACAAGACCCTGAATTTAACTCAGAATAATGGAAACATGGAAGGCTTTCGATCAAAATAGATCTGCAAACTGACCTCCTGTTCTTTGTTTCTATGACATCCCCTGGACCTGTGCATTTCTGGGGGTATGGGCGGTCTCACCTCTGCCTGACCCAGAGAGGTACCAGTGGGTACTGCAGGTATTTGTTGAATCAACAGATGTGCGTCTCCCACAGACTGGCTGACTGCGGCCTCACCACAGAGGGCTGCCGGGACCTGGCCTGTGCGCTGCGCGCCAGCTGCAGACTGACTGAGCTGGACCTGAGTTTCAACAAGATCCTGGACACCGGTGCCCAGTACCTTTTCCTGCAGCTGAGAGGGTCCAGCTGCAAGCTGCGGACACTGTGGTAATTGTGCCTCATGGACACTGCTTTGGGGGATGGGGCAGAGAGGACGTGAGAGCTACGCAGGGAGGGGTGATGGCAGGGGGAGCGGATGGATGCCCTCGTGTTGAAACCACGAGTTAGCTGATGCATCCGCTGTCAGCTAACTCGGCGTTTGGCCGGGTTCGTTAATAATTAAACCCAGCGTGCAAGTGAAATGCTGGGTAAATTACTCGTGTAATGATTGCTGTGGGGAGTGGCAAGGTTGGTGAGAGTCACACAAACGGTGACTAGCTGCACCCTGAGTGGGTCCTCGGCTGCAGGAGAAGGTTAAATCTGCTAGGTTACTGCAGTCAGACACATTTTTATCTTCCTTTAATGTCACCAAAGACCCCCAAAGTGGCAGCTACTAGGAAGGAAAACCAGACCCTAGCACCCTGAGGACCTCATGAACCATGACGATTGTCCCGTGCACATGTGTCCCACAGGCTGGTCAGATGTGGCCTCACATCTGGCTGCTGCCAGGACCTGGCCTCCCTGCTCAGTGACAGCCCCAGCCTGACAGAGCTGGACCTGCGGCAGAACGCCCTGGGCGACCTCGGCGTGCGGATGCTCTGTGAAGGGCTCGGGCAGCCCCCCTGCCAACTCCGGCGCCTGCGGTGAGTCCCTGTGGGTCCCTGCAGGGCAGAGGGCAGGGACGGGAAGGGGGACAATTGGCAAGGGGTGTCGGGCCCTGAGATGGACAAGGAAACTAAAGAGACAGAAAAGTGACTTGTCATCCTGGGTTCCCTACCAGCTCCACTGCTTATTAGACCACGAGCCTTGGGCAGGTCTTCCTCTGAGACTCGGTGTCCTCGTTTGTATACTGGAACCTCATATCCACCTAACAGACTGTGATGTAAACATAAAATGCGTATAAATCTAGGACAGTTCCCAGTACCAAGGTAAGAGGATCAAAGGATAACCACCAGTGAGACCACATGTCCCAGGGGACGCCCAGGTCCACCTCCCCACTCCAGGATGTCCTCCCTGCTTTCCTTCATCACCTCACTCATTCACTGTAGGCCTCCCATGTGCCAAGCAACAGACACAGGCCCTGCTCTCCTAAAGCTCACACTCCAGTGGGAACTAGACAGCTGATAACCATGTATTAATACAGTGCGTATTTCTAAGCTCCATGGAGTCTGTGAAGGGAAAGTGCAGTGTGTTATGAGAGAGTAACATGCGGGAGGTGGAATTAGACTGAGGGGCAGGGAGGGCTTCTCTGGGGAAGGGACATTAGGCCGAGACCTGAAGCAGAAAAAGCAGCTGACCAGGCCTGGCAGGGGCCGCAGTCCAGGCGAAGAGAAGAGCGTAGGAGATCCCAGGACAGGCACAGGCTCAGAGCCCTGGAGACCGTGGCTGGAGTGCGGGGACCCCACGCTCACTCCCACGCTGTCCCTCTGCTCCTTCCTCTCTCCTCCTCATGCTGAGAACAGGCCCACAGGCTGTTTCTGGCAACATTTCCCTGCAGCTCCCGGCGAGGCCCATCACACAGTCTCAGAGCTGGCAGGGCTCCAACCCTCACGCCCTGGCCCTGAGGTCTTGGCTGAGGCTCCAGTTGCCGGCTCTGGAGGGCTCAGCAATGCTCCAGCCCTCAGCCTCTCCTCCGCCAGGCTACCCCTGTTCACAAACCTAGAGCGGCAGGAGGAGCAGGAGAGCAGGGCTCAAACACGCCACAGGTGGGTCCCCCCAAGCCCGCTCTGACCCTCCTCACCCAAGGGAGCTCCGGTCCACGGGGCTGGCAGCTCACACCCCAGCCCCTCCCCACCGGGCACCTGTGGCGCCACCATCCCTGCGTGTGGAAGGGCCTCTCCAAGGCGGGGCCTGGCAGCACAGTCACGTTCCGCTCCCCAGTTACCGGTCACTTCTTGGTGGCCTCAGGGCAGCTTGCTCTTGGACGTCCTGCGATGGTTTCTGCCCCCTCCTTCCTAGAGCCCCAGGACTTGGGAGAGAGGGACCCCCGCCTGCATCAGGGCCCCAGGCCCTCCCCCGGGGGAGCAGCTCTGACAGCAGGAATGAGCGCGTGCGCGCCCTCTACGGGGAGCAGGGTCGTCTCACCTGCGCGCCCTCGGCCGCAATAGGCAGGGCAGGTCCCTCCTGTGGGAGACGAGGACCTGGAGGCCCAGAGAGAGCAGCAGCCCCCAACCCAACGGACACCCCAGGACACGAGGCCTGTGACAATGGGAACAGGCTCTCTTTCTCCAGAAAAACCTTCCAGCCCTAAGCAGGAAATCCCATGTCCCACTCTTATGTGGTCGTTTTGAGGCCAAGGGGGCCGGCTGCAGGGACGGCCAGGGCCAATCACAGCCGTCTCCACAAGGTCGCCCCCTTTCTGGGGTGGCTGCTTCCAATGACTGACCAGGGTGAGGACACAAAGACCCGGGCCCTCCTCCCAGTGTGGAGTGGCCCTGGAGGGTCACCCCCACATCAGAAGTCCCGCGGAGTCACTGGGTCCCTTGAGACTGCCGCAGAGCCCGACTTGTCCCTCTGCCCAGTCCTGCTGCTTTCCTTCCTTTGCCCTGGGGCGGACCCAGGAACACTCTCCAATAAACCTCCTAATGCTATTTTCCATCTCAGAACCTGATTCCGGAAAACCCAACCTACAAGAGTTTCCTGTTAGAGGTGGAAGATTCCATGATTCTGGGCCCTGAGGATGACGAGATCATGTGGGGGTCCCAGGATAACCAGGCTTCCTTTGTGCTTGCAGCCTGGACCAGACCCATCTGAGTGAGAAGGTGCAAAAGATGCTGCAGGACCTGAAGCAGGAGAAGCCTCAGCTTAAAGTCAATCTACATACGTGGGCCACAAGCAGGATGCGTAGAGTTAGGAGGCAGAGACAGACTGAAGCAGGAGGAAGCCAAAAACCCATGGGAGTCCTGGGCCTGACTCAGCCCGAGAGTGGTCTGCGGCATTACCAGGACACTCAGGCCACTTCCTCTGAGATCTCAAGGAAATTGTCTGGCTCTCTGTCCGGAGAGAAAAGAGAGAATGTCCCTGAAGAGGCCCCAGGTAGAGGACAGATGGATGATGACACATTCCGACTCAAATGGCAGAAACTAGAATCAGGTACGGTGAAGGTTCAGGGTGAGAAAATCATGATTTGGGATAAGAGAGCGGGGTGCAGAAGGGCATCCCCTCCATCCCCCACCTCTGCTGTGGGTCCTGGCAAACTGCCCCCTAGGACAGCCCCACCCCAAGCGAGAACAGCCGCACCTGGAACCTACAGGACCCCTGCTTCCCTCTCTACCCGCCTCAGGGGCTGAGGCCCCGCCTCTCCAGAACATTGCTGGCAGGTCTCAGACTCTGACCAGGGCTCAGTCTCCCGAGGCCTATGCTTTGGGGCTTTGAGGCTTGGGAGTCCCCTCTCCATCCCCGCCCATCCATTTTTTGACCCATGTTTCTCCTACAAGCTACCTTCCTGGTGGATGCAAGAAATTGCAGTACTTCTGGACCAGTGGGAAGGGGCAGGTGGCAGCGGTGTGGTCAGGGGGCAGCCGTGTTGGGCCTCCTCAGACAGCAGGCAGGCTGCTCAGGAGCAAGGACAGAGGCCTCAGGCACGTTCCCTGCCGAGGTCCACACAGACCTGCCTTGGGAAGGACCCCTCATGGTTGAGCCTAAGGGGTGGGGGGACTATACTGAAGAACCTAAAGCTGACCACCAACCTTCTTCTCTTCAAGAAGGGAGCTCCCCTCCCGTTACACAGGTGGAACCTCTCTGTCTGTCTTCTCCTGAACCTCTGCATGACCTGCTAGTGAAGCCTGCAGGGACAGAAGATGACTTCTGGGGCCCCACAGGGCCTGTGGCTACAAAGGTGGTTGACAAAGACAGGGGTCTGTACCGGTGAGTGAGGGGACTCTGCTGTGCCAGGCTGGCCACCCCCACCCTCGCCACCCCCACACTAGATCCCAACAGACACCCCGCCCCCCACTCGTGGCCCACTGGGTCCCCTCCCATTGCCACGCCTCCAGGCGGAGACAGGGCTGAGAAACTGGGTTGGTGATTTTATTACGGGAAAGGGGGTTTTATTACAAAAAGTTGCAAACAAACACAAAAATAGAGTCCAAAGAACTTCCACTTACCAATTACTTATCTCCAACAATCATTTTACCATTTTTGTTTCAACTATTCACTTGGCCTCATTTTGTGGTTATAGTATTTTAAATATGAATTATTGGGTAAATTAATCTTAAATATTTTGTGATACACTTTGAAAAATACTACTTAAGGCCGTTTCTTCCATAACCACAATACCATCATCATGTCTAACAATGTTCACAGGTTATTTTCCTGTCATCTAATACTCAGTCTATATTCAAATATGCTCAGTTGCCTAAAATGTGTCCTTGCAGGTGATTTGTCCTAATCAGGACAGAATCAAAGTCACTCATGGTATTTGGTTTATCATGTCTCATAAATCTCATTAATATCTCATTCCATCCATATGTTCTTCTTTATAAATACCTACTATGTGCAAAGTATACCACTAATAAGGAAGCATGAGGTAAACACAGCAGAGCTGCTTTCCCGGGGCTCCAGTCAACAGTAATAAACGTCTATAATCTTAGTCCCCGTCTCTTACATGACACAGTGCTGTTCACTGTCTCCGACATGATCTCAGCTGGGAGGTAATATTACTCCGAACTCTGACATATGGAAGCTGACATCTCGGGAACCCACTCTCTCCCATGATGGAACCTGAAGAAACTGTAGGATCTCTGTATAGTGTTGCTTTATGCTCCAAGTGGTTAACATTAATATCATCATATAATTGGTTTAATTTTAGAAAAAGAGGCCCCTAAAAAAAGTAAGCCTTACCTATTGTTATTAGTCATATTCATATTACTATTATTATATTATTATTCATATTACTATTATTCCCATCATCATTGTAGTGACAGCTCGCCTCACCCAGGCCTGTCCGAGCTGCCAGCACACACTGGGGCACTTACTGCTCACAGCTGCATGAGATGGTGCTCTTCTCACTTTACTTCCACAGGAGAAAACTGAGATAAGGGAGGTTCAGGGACTTGCTCAGGGACCCACAGCGGAGAGCAGAGGGGCCAGGATGCAAACCCGACCCTCTGTGGGATCTGAGCTCGCAGCCACTCTGCGAGACACACAGGGCCCTGCATGGGGTCGGTGGGGTCGGACACACAACAGGTACTCGGTGAGGTTCACTGCCGGCCTCTCCTTCTTCTCCCCAGGGCTCACTTCCCCGAGGCTGGCTCCTACCGCTGGCCCAACACAGGCCTCCACTTTGTGCTGCGGGGGCCCGTGACCATTGAGATCGAATTCCGTGCTTGGAAAGAGTTCCTGGACCAGATCGTCCCACAGCACAGCTGGATGGTGGCCGGGCCTCTGCTTGACATCAAGGCCGAACCAGGAGCCGTGGCAGCTGTGTACCTCCCCCACTTCGTAGATCTCCAAGGTGAGCAGTTAGGGGGTGTGGAGGGAAGGTGACAGTGGGAAGAACGGGCTGGAATGGCTTCAGCTGGCAATGTCCTGAGGGGGAGCCTGTGGCTTCCTGAGACAGACTGAGGGGGGTTAAGGAAGTGGAGACAGTTTTCTCTCTCATTTTACAGTGTTCTGGGCGTATCTTGTTTTGAAAAATTTTATACCCAAACACCGTAATTACTTTTGCCTGAGTTACTTGAAATTTCACCATGAGGAAAGTGCTCTCCTCATGGGGAGGAGAGAGGTGGGTAGAGGTAGAAGAGGGTGTAAGGAATATAAATGGTAATGAAGAAATGCATAAATAAATGAATAAATAAAAATAAACTGTTTAAAACTTTTTGCAAATTAAAAAGAAAGTGGTCTCCTCAAAACAATAACAACTAGCATTTACTGAGATTGTATCACTAGGGTCCCAGCAAAAAACATATATACTCAGTTGAGATTTTCAAAGAGACTCTCTAAAGATTAGACTATTCACAAAGTAAGGCTAAATGAACAAACAAGAAACGCGGGGTACCGGGGACTCTCAACAAATGGGAAGCCGTTGGTACTGCCACAGTCGGGGAGAAGAAACAGTGTCGCCAGACTCCATTTCAAAGCTCAAGCTGCAAAACAGGGGTATCCCATGAGGAGAGGTAGTCATAAAGGGTTATTCCTCCCTACCCACTACAAAGACCTCCTAAAGATAAGAGTCTGAAAATATCTAACCTCTCAGGCAAAACCTCATAAACAGTGAACAAATCATCGTAAGAGGGAACCGACAGAAACCTCAGGAACCAGATGTGAGTCCCATGAAAACTTGAGACATTTAATGATCAGAAAGAGGATGTAAATAAGTGTGATTCTTGTTTAAAAAAAATAGTCTTTAAAATATGAGGGAAAAGCAGTAAACCACTAAAGATGATAAATCAAGTTGGAAAACCATCTAAATTGGCAAAAATATGACAAAGTGTAAATAAGAAAAGATTAAGTTACATGGAAGATAATGTAAGAAGGTCTAACATAAACCTAATCAGAATTCCAGAAGGATATTTTAGAGAGAACGGAGAAGATATAATATTCAAAGGGAGAATTACTAAGATTTCTACAATTGCCGAGAGATGTGATTTTTAAGAAAGAAAAAAACCCCAAAAATCCAAAGCGGAAGAGGGAGAGAGAAATCAATACTAGACCCATTGAAGTGAATTAACACAGGACAGACACCTAAGGTCTCGGTTAGGAGCATCCACTTAGTCAAGTCCTGGCCACACAGTTGGGTCATCGCCTCATGGGGGCGGCAGGTTCCCATGGGAAGGCCAAGCTCGAGGTCTGCCCTGACCCGCACAGTGATGGCGGAGGAGGTTCTTCCACCAAAGGAAGAATCTGAAGGGAGGGTGACAGACACTCCACAGTGCACACTACCCATGTACACTCCATCTCCCACTGCAGTTTTTCCTTACTGTTCTCTGCCTGCCAGGAGTCAGGCCTGCAAGCTGCACTCAGCAGACCTCATTGTTAGAGAATCCAGCACAGGTAACCATGGGTCAACACATCCCCCGGATCCAGCACCAGGGGCTGAGTAAAGGTTTAGCCTGAGGGGCTTCCCCTGGTGCTCCCTCTCTAGCGAACCCGTTGCCAGCAGCTGCAGTAAAACCCAGGCCCAGTCCTGCCAGCTCTCTTTGCGGGTCCCCCAGGGAGGCCACTGAGCCTGCACCTGAGGCCCACACTGCCCCAGCCAAGCCTGACTCAGCGAGGGCATTAAATCCCTGTTTCTCAAATCCATTCTTTTCAGGAAAAAACGTGGACAAATCCTGGTTCCAAGTGGCCCACATGAAAGAAGAAGGGATAGTCCTGGAGAAGCCAGCCAGTGTGGAGCCACACTACACAGTCCTGGAGAACCCCAGCTTCTCCCCCATGGGAGTTCTTCTGAGAATTATCCAGGCTGTCCTGCCCATTCCCATCAGCTCCAATGTGTTGCTCTACCATCACCTCCATCATAAGGATGTCACCTTCCACCTCTACGTGATTCCCAACGACTGCTCCATTCGCAAGGTGGCACCAAAGCCAGAAAGGCGGGGCCAGGGTGGGCTGACAGACACATGACTTGCCCCCAGACGTACCCCTTTGGGTCAAAGGGACACGAGGATCCACCTCTTCAGCAGGGAGGTCGAAGGAGATGAGCCGTCCTGGCCCTGCTCGGCCATGGACTGGTTTCCGAAGCTCCCCCGGCCGGGTGCACTGCTCCCTCGCTCACCTCTGGACACATCACTCATCACTCACAGCTCACCAGCCTCTTTCCAGGGGTCAGAGGACGGGAGGGTTCCATACCCAGAGCTGTTCCCTTTCTTCCACTCTCACTTCTTTCCTAATCCTGCTCAAAACTGGCTGTGAACATGGCAGAGGCAAAGTGTGGGGCTCTCTGTGTAGCCATCAGGGGGGAGCGGGTGCGGATAACCAAGGGATCAGAACCCCATGGAGGGTATAGACCCCTCCACACACAGAAACACGTGGAAGCATCACTTCACTTTGCTCAGATCACACTCCTCAGGGCAGAGTCTCTGAGCCAGACCCAGACGCCCTCCTCCCCTGATCTGTGTTCTGTGTGCCCCTTAGGCCATAGATGATGAAGAAAAGGCATTCCAGTTTGCGCGACTACACAAGCCGCCCCCAACGACACCGCTCTACATGGGCTCCCGATACACTGTGTCTGGTTCACAGGAGATGGAAATTATCCCTCAGGTGAGCGGCCCCAATGTTGCCCACACTGCCCTTCTTAAGGTCAGAGGTCATGCTTGGGAATAGCTGTGGGGCTGGTCTCAGAGCTTTCGGGGGACAGGCCCAACTGGGGTAGGGCTGTCAGCAAGTGAGATCTGGGGTGCGAGGGAAGGCTTCAAAGACTGGGGGAAAGAAAGCCAGTTGGAGGGAGGGTCACATTGAGGGTAGGGACAACAATGGGGGGGACTTAGGGCTACAGCGTTCAACGATCTCCAAATAAAACCACCAGGATCTCACCTGCAGTTAATTCACTGGGGTCAGTGCTCATCGCGGCCTGAGAACACCCGCCAATGGGAACCCTGGGCCTCTCAGGACAAGGGTCTCAGAAAGATCCTATTGGTGATTGGGGACTAGGTTGGGTAACTTGGGGGAAGATCTAAGGAAACGGAGGTTTGCTCTAGATCTGGAGCTGTCAGAAGGCAGTGAGGGTCTGTCGTTGGGAACCTCAGTGACTTTGTCTCCAGGGAGGGCAGGCTCAGCCAGCACCAAGCTATAATTTCAAAAAGAGCTGTCACCAGTACTTTGGGGCAGATGATGTGTGGCATCATGTGGGTTGCACAGCGCCCTGACTACAAGGGACATTCTGAGATGGTGTATGTCCAACAGGAGGACATCAGGGCAGAGGTGGCAGCACGGGTGCTTTTGTAATGACACAGAGGTCCAGCCGGGAGCCTCAGATCAGTGCCTGGACATCAGGGGCTGGCTTTGTCCTCTCTCAGTCTCCCCTTTCCACCAGGGCAGACACGGTCAGACCACTGGACATTCATCCGTGACATCTCTGTTTTCACCACGGCCCAGAATATGCTGCTCAGGGTCAGGGCGTCCACTGAAGGACAGTCTGTAGTGGAAGCAGGGTCAGTCCTTTTCCCTTCTGTTGTCAGATGAGTCTTTGAACTCCCTTTAAGTGACAATGACAGGTGGAATAGATGTACAGTAGTTAGGAGGAAATGATATGCATCTTTTCAGTAAGGACACATGAATCTAAGGAGAAATACCTTACATTTTCCTGCTGTCAGTTGTTATCATAGGATGAGAGACATGACTCATTCTACAAACATTTACCCACTGCCAACTATAGGCTGGCTCCCGTTGGGACAGTTCATCAAACAAGACAGACAAACCCTGCCTTTGGGGATTTGACATCCTGGTGGGACGAGACCTACATAAATAAAAAAAGAAATAGTGACCAAGAACGATAAATCACTATGGGAAAAACATACTAGGCCACGTGGGTCGTCTGGCAGAGATCCCGAGGAGCCACATTTGAGCTCAGACTTCAGTGACGAGAAGGGTCCTGGCAGGCGCACATTTGTGACACAGCACTGTAGAAACGAGACAGAGGAGCAGGCACCATTGACACGTCCACATGTCAAATTCAGGTCCGTGTCACAGAGCTCAGTGACTGCAGCAAAGAGAAGGTAGATGGGGTCTCACAAGAGGCAGGTTTCCTAGGGCCTATCGACCACGTGGCCCTGACATGGAGTTTGGATTTTGTTCCAAGTGCAATGACAATGTCTTAGAGGGTCTTATTTGCAATACAAGACCTGATTTAGTTTCATCCAGGTGCCTCTGGATGCTGGGAAAGAACGGATGATAAGCAGTTGAGAGTGAATTCAGAAACACAAGGCAGAAAGCTAATACAATAGTGAAGGTAGGAGCTGATGGAGGTTTGACTAGGGAGATAGCAGTGGGGATGAAGATAAGATGATGGATTCAGGGATGTGTTGGAGGTAGAGCCAACAGGACTCAGTATATGGTAGAGAATGGTAGAAGGATAGGATGGTGCCCAAATCTAGAACATGAGTACTCAGTGGGTGTTGATACCATTGAATGTGTGTTGGAAACTGGGGAGGGAGTGTGTTTGAAATACACATGGGAAGCAAAAGTCTGTGTTGAATGTGACTTAGAAAAGGATGGATTTCAGTTTTTCTTGGTTGAAAGTGGGTCAAGCATAGGATCCATTGAGAAGACAGGCTGTGGGCTGGAGAAATGAGGATTTGGGGTGAAGATGCAGGGGGTGCATAGGGTTCAGGGAGAGGACTCTGGCTCAGGGTGTGTGAGCGCGACACCGTGGAGGAGCCCTGACTCATCCATGGGGCACCCAGCTGTGTCCTCCTTCTTCTGGGTCAGAATGTGTGGAAATTGAGGAAAATGGCCTCAGGTGGCAATTAATTTCAGAACAGATCATCCAAGGGTCTCCCTGGGGCTAAGCAGGCCCAAGAAGGTGCCAGGTGGGGAGAGACCTCACTTGCAGGATGAATGGAGGCTTCTCACGTGACATCTCCTTCTACAGGAACTGATGCTCTGCTATCGGAGCCCCGGGGAAGCCCAGCTCTTCTCTGAGTTATACGTTGGCCATTTGAGGTCAAGTATCAGGCTTTACCTAAGACACATTGAAGATGAAACCCTGATATGGAAGGCCCTGGTGACATCAGGTAAAATCAGGACAAGTGCAGGGACTTCAGAAAGTCAGTTACCGAATGTGTGTGTGTGTGTGTGTGTGTGTGCGCGCGCGCGCGCGTGTGTGTATGAGAGAAAGAGAGAGAGAGTTTGTATTATCACAAGCTGCTGATGAGAATAGCCCAGCAAGGTTAATTTTTCTAGTTACACAACCAACAGCATGACCAGAATTTGAACTCAAGTTAATCTGACTCTGAACTCCATCCCCCTCCAATACATTTTCATGTGTCCACACTGCACTGTATTAACACTGTTTGATACCCATAAAGCTTCTGGCAATTGTTCATAATAGAGTGGATATAAGTTGAAAGAATAAGAGCTGGATGATAGTATGATTGTTTGAATTAAGACAGTTTTGGCAATAGAACATAGTCTACCCTGGGTCATTAAGCTTTTTCCCCAGTAGACAAGAATTAAATAATAAATTTGCAGAAATGAATGACACTTTACTATCTTTTAAATGAGCACTGACTCCCCCAAGAATGTCCCCTAAGCTTTCCTTGAAGGGACAACCAGCGCTTGTTTGCCATGGAAATAAGTTGGATGTGCCTCCTGAGCCGTTACAAGGGCTTCCCGGTGGGGAGAGAGGGAGCGGGTTTCCCTGAGTCTCGCTCGGGCCCCGTCACAGGTGTGGACTAACTGGCCCAGCATCAGGCCTGGGTTTAAGTCTCAGTCTCGCACTTACTTGCTGGGTGATTTGGGGAAACTACTTAACTCATTTGAGTGTCCAGTTCCTCATTTATAAAATGAAGACGATAATACCTAACTTGCATTATTGCAGAAAAAATTAAACTACTGATGCGTTGAATATGTTACCTCAAGCAGCAGTCCTTAATAAATATAGCAGTATTGTTATTTTCTCTCATATCACACCAGTCTCTCCCACCCTCAGACTTAATTCTGCTCTCACAGCTGACAGAAGCTCTATCTCCATCTGCACAGGAAAGCCTTTCAGACACTTGAAGACTGATCGTGGCCTCCCTTAAGTCTCCTACTATGCAAGTTAAACACCTACAGTCCCTTCCATCATTCTTCTTTTATTTTGGTTTTTCAAAACTTTACCAACCCAGTCACCTTGCTCAGCAGATGTGCCCATCTGAGGATGAGCCAGGATGGACTCTAAGGCCGTCCAGTCAGCATGGAGGACGGGGATCGCCCCTCTCCCTCCATCCATATGCACCCGGGCTCCCAGAACCACAGCCAGAGCTCCCCTGCGCTAGAGCTCACCCCCAACACTGTGCGGTCACACTGAACTTGGGTGGGCCCACACTCTCAGGCCGTATTCATAGGAGTTGCTCTGGAATCCCTTTTCTTCTCCATACACCAGTAATTGGAACCCCCTTCATTCATTGATACTGTTGTGGGGGTTTTTTCCATGAAATTAACCAATTACTCCCAGTGCTAAGACTTTCTTCATCTTGATTCCTGATTCTCACATCAAAATCCAAAAGAAACAGTGTGAGTCTGGAAGCCTAAACAAATAAAAGTGCTAGACTTCCACTCAGAAGATAAAATCTCGTACTAGAAGCTATCTACCAAGACTCAGTTATCCTTCCACCAGGGTTCCATTCAGGCAAAGACTGAATTACAACATGTCTGCAGTGTTCAGACAGAAAGTATTCCCTTCCTCTCTCTTTCTCTCTCTCTCTTATCATGGCTACTGGGCCTCAGTATCCCCATATGCAGGAAGAATGGAGTCACCTGCAACCCTTTCTCTAAATTCTATTAGAATTAGTCTGTAGCTTGTTCTAGGAATCCAAGGATCTGAGAAGTGAGACATGTGTAGCAGTTTCAAGACTTCTCATTTGTGCTAATAACGACCAGTGTTACTGAAGCCCCCTCATGTCTGTTTTCTTCCAGGAGACCTCAGACCTCCAAGCCTGACAGGTGAGTAACAGCTGATAGACACAGCAGGCATGGATGCTCTGGGATGTGCTATCTGCTCCTGGAGGGAAGGGAGGGGAGAGAGGAGGGGAAGGAAGAGAGTCTATCATTGCAGACTCTACAAAGGATCAGGCTTTGGACAGTACAGTGTCCTCAGAGCAGAGTCCTTCCCCATCCTTCTTATTCTTGCCCGTGGAGACCCTGGCACTTTCCACAGAACAGCCCCAAAGGCCTCCTTCATGAACCCAACCCCACACCCAGCTCCAGCAAACTGCTGGCCTGGCAGCTGACATGCAGGGGCGGAGGTATCTCTATGTTTTCACAGGGGCAGGAGCCAGGGAGGCAGAAGAGGTGAGTGAAGAGTTAGAGGTGGGGAATCGGAAGTAGCCTCCGTAGTGGAAGCTCTTCTTTATTTGTTGCCAACCTCACATTCAACCCCAGGTGCCCCAGATGAGCTGCACTTTGTGGACCGGCATCGGGAGCAGCTGGTGACTCGAGTAACATCAGTAGACACAGTCCTAGACAAGCTATTAGGACAGATGCTAAGTGACGAGCAGTACCAGAAGGTGAGGGCTGAACGCACCAATCCAGCCAAGATGAGGATGCTGTTCAGCTTCAGCAACTCCTGGGACGAAACCCGCAAAGATAAACTCTACCAAGCCCTGAGGGAGACCGAACCTTACCTAATTAAGGATATCAGGGAGAGGGGGGCCATGGGCGAGAACAGGCAGGGGTCTTCACCCGGTTGTGAGTCCTGACTCTGCCTCACCCCTTTTGGGTCTCAGCTTCTTCACCTCTACACAGATTGCCTTCTGACTTGCCTCTATTATGAAGTCATGTAACTTCAGTGACGCCTTTGCTGCGCATTACATGTCTGTGTCCAAGAACGCGCTGCGGGCGCCCAGGCTGCCTCCTTTGGCTTTCATGGGCCAGCTGCCCAGCTGGGATGACAGCATCTCAGGGGATGTGCATGTGCAGCTGGGCAGAACGTCTGCAAAACTTGTAGGAGCCTCACCCCAGTTCCTCGTCAGTGGCCGCCACAGCCAGGCTTCGAGCCCCCTCTGTGCCGTTCAGGTGTGGGGAGGATCAGGGAGAAATGGAACCGGCCACCTCTGCTGGAGACAGACCATGGAAATGGACACCTTGCAGGGTTTAAATGGCTTGTAAAGAGGGACAAAAACAGATTTATTTTTTACTTGTCAATGTTGAGCTTGGATTTTCTAGTAGCTCAAATGGTGACTTGTGCTTTTTGATATTTAGATGGATTCCTAGAGCCAGGAGAGGGTGAAGAAGAAGGCCGTGGGGGAGTACCGTCTAGGTCTTAGCTTCGATGACTTCCGCTGGGGGCAGTGAGGCCCCGTCCCGGCAGCTGGCTCAGGCACCCCTGCCCTGTGCTCCCGGAGCACCCTGTGTCCCCCCCCATCAGAGCGCTCAGCACAGGGCATGGTCCCTATTGCATTTCTGCTCGTCCCTCCCCACTAGATCGTAAGCATTCAGAGGACAGGAACCATGTCTAAGCAGATTATTGCCAGGGCCTAGGACAGTCCTTTGCACACAGTGGGTTTTTTATTAAGTGGGGGTTTATGAGGAGGTACATGATAAAAGGACATTCCCCAAATACCTCCTTCAATTCCCTTCCTGGCCACCATACTGTCCGTGGAATTCAAAGGCCCACCTCAGTAATAATTCCCCCATTAGCAGGCCACCCCCTTGGCCCAGTTAATCAGTCATCTTAGAGTTAAATCGGTTGGTGCTGAATCATTTGCACTGATGTTGTTCTCCATCGGTGAGAGCAAAGCTCCTCTCAGGTTGCGCCTGCCCAATATACAGCAGCCCAAGTTGATTGTACCTCCCTCCCCACTTTGTCACCCTCCCCCTTCAGAGTCTCTTCTTCCTGCCATCTACTTGGGTCTCACCCGCTTTCCTTACCCTCCACCGCACAACATAAGGTGTCTCTTCTTTATCCTCCCCAACTCTGATGGCTGTTATAAAGGTTAAATGAGATACATGTAGGACATCCTATGAGTGTTCAGCTCCTAGACAGTATTTAATAAGCGGTAGGTATAATCCTTAGGTTTCACTGCGCACAGGGTAGGGGAGTGGTCAGCATATCTCAACCTTCCACAACTATACAACAGAGAATTCAGAAGGGGGAAGGGCAAAAACATCAAAGCATCATCATCATCAGCATCATCAGCATCAATCACAGAAAAGGGAAAACACAACACCTGTCCCGATAGCTTCATACACACCTGCAGAGGCGCCACCTTGTCGACTCTTTGACTTTTTTGCCCAGGCCACATGCTACCACGTGCAACACGTTTAGCTGACTCTGTCGGGACCTTCCTAGGACTCAGGCAGTTCCTGAACTTTGGATCTGAGCTCTTGGAGATGTCCCCTATGAAAGTGGAATTTGGCGGGACACCTGTACTTTGAAAAGGATGTTCTTTCCCTAAGATTCAAGAAGCTGGGGCTGCTTTCTGGTCCCAGGTAGGATAGGCCTGTGCAGAAAGGGAAATACCATCAGCACTCTCACCCTAAGACTCTGGCGCACCTCCTCCAAGGACAAAAAGGGGGCACAGTGAACTTGCTATTTGAATGTAATCCAGGCCAGCTGCCCGTGAGGACAGTTTCTGTTGAATGTATTCTGAATTTAATGTTCTCAGTGTTATTAAGAGAGAAACAATATGCCAGTATGCCATAGAATTTATTTCTGCACCAAATGGCCAGGGCCCCCTGTAAGTCCGTGAGGAACAGGACGAATATTCTCAGGAGAAGCCTCTTTACTCCTGTTGCCTTACACTGGGCATCGCGTTGCACGGGACAGAGCCCATTTATAGGATCTCATTTATTTCATTCTCAAGGTCCAATCCTCACACAGGGAGCTCCGCCCTCTCCTCAGGAAGCTAATGGTGAGGCCTGGTAGCTCAGGGCCTGTCCCAGGCACTGTCCTCCAGGTTTTAACTCCCTGCTCGGGCCGTGACGGTTGTTGGGGCCACAGGTCAGAGGGTCACAGCCGGCGAAGTGTCTGGGGTCAGCCTCCCCCTCCTGCCACGTCACCTCTAAGTACGCCAGGTCGGTAAGAAGCGAGAATTCCTTCACAGTGGATTGAGGGAGACAGAGACAAAGGAGGTAGGTGAACAGCTGAGCAACTAAAGCCAGATGAGGGGTCAAAAGTCCCTCTCCTCCCACACCAGACCCTGCGAAGCGGATGGTTCACACCTCTCCTCCTCAACCAGACTGCGGGTAGCTTCAATCACCCAAGTCAGGGACATAGATGACAGAGACCCAGCTTGTGCCACTAGTGTCAGACAAGTCCAAAAGAATGAGGTCACAGGAACCAAAAAACAAGAAATCCCATCAGCGCCAGACAAATACAAGATCGAGGAGAAGCTGACCAGCGAATGATCCCGAACCCCACTACCCCTCACCTTGATGCATCAGCCTATTAGAGGACACACCTGGAAGCTCAAGAACATTCTGATTAAGACCTCCCCTAAAATTTCCTCCTGCAGAAAACAGACACAAACCCTCCGGACAAAAGACCTAGTGTGCAAACTTCACCCCTCCCTCCGTCCCGCACCCTGCTTTTCTCAGGCATGTAATTTTACTTTCTCTCTCCTAAGTTCCCAGGGTCCTCCTCTCGCCTAACTTTTCAGGGAGCAAAAGCAGCCCCGCCTCGGCTCCACGCTGCTGCTGGGACTGCCTTCCCTGAGTCCAGGCGGCCCAGCCCAGGCTCACTTCTGTTACTGTGTCCTGCTTCTTCCGTCATGGGCCCTCCCTTGATTCTCTGTCCCAAGCTTTACTAAACATGTTCTCAGAACCACCTGAGCTCCTGTCTTGAGACTGTCCTGCACAAAGTCAAGACCACCTTCCAAGCTGTGCCGAACAGACCTGCCCCGGCCCGGTCCCAGTTCATTTTTGGTGAACTGAGACGGGCCACACTTTTAGCCCTGGAGGGAGTGGCTCAGGGAATTGAATGCCAGCCTGCAAACCAAAGGGTCACTGGTTCAACTCTCAGTCAGAGCACATTCCTGGGTTGTCGGCCAGGTCCCCAGTGGGGACGGGGCGGCTTCAGAGGCAACCATGTTGATGTTTGTCTCCCTCTCTTTCTTTTTTCCTTCTGTCTCTAAAAATAAACAAATAAAATATGATAAGAGGAGGCGGGGAAAAAGAAGAGGAAGAAGAAGAAGAAGAAGGAACAAAATGAAATTCCCGACTTTTGGGACAGTCCAAATTGCCCTCAACAATTGCTGAGGGTACGAGGACATTACCAGTAGCCTCACGATGTGTTCAGGCGGCGAGAGAACACAGGCACCTGTGAGGCTGAAACCGGACAGGCACGAACACTGAAGTCACAGTCTGCCAGTGCGGCCACCCATCCCTGTCCTGTTCTCTAAGTCTTACATGTATGAGTTACTTAACCCTAATGACAAGTCTGGATAGTCTTGTTCTCCACAGAAACAGATCCCATAGGATGTGCGTATGCACAGAGGGAGATGGAGTGTAAGGCGTTGGCTCACACGACCACGGGGGCTGGCAGGCCCACCATCGGCGGGTGGGCTGGTGGACGAGACCCAGGGCGGCGCTGGCACAGCCGTCTGCCGGCAGGGCTCCCGGCGGCTCAGGGGGGTCGGGCTTTCCTCCTGTTCCGGCCATCAGGTGATTACAGGAGGCCGGCCACGCTCTACTAAGCCCAATGTTACACATTTAAATGCTCATGGCATCTAAAAACACCCTCACAGAAACATCCAGAGTAAAGTCTGACCCACTATCCGAGCACTGTGGCCCAGTCCAGCTGACATAAAATTAACCATCACAAGCACCGTGACGACAGATACTACTATCATCCTCCTGCTGCAAATAAATGGAGGCAGAAAGGCGGTAAGCGATGTCCCTGAACTCTCACAGAAACCAAGGGGTGGACTTGGAGCCCACCCCCTGGCAGCTGGCTCCAGAGTCAGCCTCCTGCCGCGCCCAGGCCTCGGGGAGAAACCGGGCTCCCCGGCCTGGAGAACAGGGAGAGGCACGTCCACCGCAGAGGCCTCTGGGGCTGGTGCGGCCCTGCTCCCTGCGGGCCCAGCAGGGAGCTCTGAACTAGGTCACTGTTTCTCACTCTCAGACAAGCTGTGACGGCCTCCTACGGGTGGGACGCAGCCAGTGGCTGTTTCCAGGTTCTGTACGCTGCACCCTTGGAGGCATCTGTGCCAATGTCTTACACCAGCGCCCGACAAAGATGACATTAGTGTTGGGACCAGACGCCCCTATCCCACAGCGGGGGGACCCAGGTCCGCCTGCCCCCAATCACCCACCCCCAGGTCCCCTGACACTGGGCCCGTCCACTCCCTTCGGAGGAGCCGCTCCCTCACCTCTGCCCGCAGGAGCTCAGTGTCTGGGGACCCGGTCCCTTCAGCAGAGGCTTTAACTGTTTGCTGTCCTGCACGACGGGAGCAGGCTGGGTTAGGCCCCGGCATCTTGGAAACGCCGCGCCTGAGGGAAGCCTGGCTCTGAGGGCGGCGAGGGTGACGCCTGCGTGCGGTCAGGCGGTGCGTGCGCGCGCGGTGCGCGGCCAGGACGGCGCGCGGTGGGCGCCTCCTGAGCGGCCCGCCTGCCCTCCCCCCTTTTTCAGGACGGCCCCCCACGCCCCCACAGGCCGAATGGCACAGCAACAGCCATGTTTACACAACGGGCCCTTTTCCCCAACCGCGGAGAGGTGAGCGGGCCACGTCCTGGGAAGGACAGAGAGAGCCGGCCTGGAGGGGCCGGGCACGGAGCCCGCCGGTGGGGAAGGGAAGCGGCGGTGAAGGACGGAGACCGTGGGCAGCGAGAACGCCCGTCTTCCGGTCCCTGCGTCCCCGGCGTCGCCAAAGCCGCGTTCATCTGTGCCCTTGAGTGCGTGGACATTCTGCTGCCTTTTCATTGTCGCCTTTTTTGCCTAAGCTCATTCTGGTATCTTTTCTGGTATTTGCAAACAGGGGTCCAAAACAACCCCACAGCCCTCGATCCCTGTAGGAATAAAGCAGGAACTTCGTGAACTGAATGCCTTTCCAGGATCTCTCAAATCTCTCCCCTCTTCCAGCCATGCTCTGTGTCCAGCCTGTGATTGTCATTTGTTCTAGTGACCCTTCCTTCCCGAAGACCCAGATTCCGTCTTAATCAGGCACTGGCAGAGCACGGCCTCCCGGGGACCCTGTTATCACGGCCCGGCGGACCCTGCATGTCGTGAAGCTATAAGCCAGAATGCTGGGGGCACCGACTGAGAAATATGTGGGAGGTGTTAGACTGAGAACAGTGGACTGACTTGTGGGACAACACAGAGGGGCAGCACGGGAAGCCACTAAGTTCCGATGGGAAGGCAAGGACAGGCTATTGGGAAGGCCTCTCTTAGGAGAAAAGCCTGGGGCAGAGGCATTCCCGGACGCAGTCATAGTCACAGGTCAATCCAAGGCAGAGGAGAGCCAGCGGGAAGGACGCTCAGACCTGCAGGCGGGCCCCAGCCCACTGTTAATGGCCACGCCCTCCATAGCCCTTGGTCCCAGAGACTCCTCCCCTTCTTTAGACCACAGGCCTACTTTTGGGAAGTCACACTCTGCCCAGGGTAGGGACCCTTTCTCTCCTCAGAAGCACAAGGTCCTCTGTCCTCCCTGTCTGGGCAGCTTCCGACCTTGGAAGTACAGAAGAGAGCTCAGGGCCCTGTCCTCTGGGGCTCAGTGGGTGGAGCGTCATCTAGTAACCGAAGGTGGGGGGGTTCGATTCCCAGTCAGGGCACATACCTGGGGTGCGGGTTCATCCCAGGTCTGGGTGCGTGCACGTGCAACCCCCAGTCCAGGCATAGAATCCCCAGTCCTGGCGTATCCCCAGCCATGGCATGTACACCAGCAACCATCGATTCTTCTCTCCAAACCATGTCTCTCTGTCTCACTGCCTCCTCTCTTTCTAAAAGAGGCAAGTGAAAATGCCCTTGGGTGAATATGCTGAGAAAAGAGCTTTATTGCTCAGGCTCCACAGACAATGCCACACCCCACGGAGTATTTGGATATAAAGCTGACAACTCCCACAAACCCTCCGGCCTCTGACTGGGCAGCAGTTTCGCACGCCTCAGTTTACAATTCCCCCTCAAAATTAATTATTACAGTCACCTGCCAGTGGGCTCATTCCAGCCTCCCCTGCCTCCCAAGAAAGGAGAAACCTACCAAGAAGGACTCCTGGTGGACAACTGGACTCAAATTGTACGGCAGAGCCGAGCAGCCGTTACGCAACAGGGTCCTCTCACACAAACCCACTTCAGGGAGAAGCCAGCAGTGAGGAGCCAGCCTCCCACACACGCTGCCTCCCTCCCTGGGCTCCTGCCCCCTGAGCCAGCCCTCACTAGGAGTCCCTACAATCCAGTTTCTGCCAGCAGCAGGGACACCTCCCCTGTCCAATCAGAGCAGTGCACGGTATGCTCCTCGCCCCCTCCTTCACTACCATCCTCACTGACCAATTACAGAGCTCCCTTTCAAACACTCAGCACAGTGCTGTTGGGACAAAAAATCCTGTGGTGATAGTGAATCCTCTTTTTGCATGAGAATGGACCGATCTAGGACTGGAGTGGGAGCTTCACTTTTTGTAAGTCAGCTCCTCCTGGCTCAGAGGACTCACCCCCCTGTCCTAAGGAGACTCGAGACTGTGTGTCCCTGGCTGGAGCTGAAACTGCAAAGACATCGTGCCAGCCCAGGGCACACAGAGCACAGCAAGTGGACCGAACCGGAGCGGCGCCCAGCAGAGCTGTCGAGCCCCTTATGGCCACCTCGCGGGGGCTGCCTCGCCACCATGCTGCCCCACAGCTGTGCTGCATCTTCACAGAGCGGTGGCGCTCCTGAGCTGCCGCACAGTCCAGTCCTTCTGCAGCTGCGCGGTTTCACTGTTGAGATATTTGACCCTCAAAGACGCCTTCGTCACTGCGCCCCCAATGGGGGGTTTCCATTGGTGTTGACTCGGTGCCAAAGGCCCCTGGCTCACACCTAACACGGAGCTCTGAAGCAATGACCTGCTCTCCTGTCCCCGTCTCAGAACCAGTGCACCTGGCCCTCACCAGTGTGGCTCCGTTGGTTGGAGTGTCGTCCTGCAAAGTGAAAGATCACCGCTCACATTCCTAGTAGGACACATGCCTGGGCTGTGGCTTGGTTCCCGGTTGGGACACATGTGAAAGGCGACCAATGGATGTTTCTCTCCCTCTCTTTCCCTTTCCCTTCCCCTTCCCCATCTCTAAATATAAAGAATGAAATATTTTTATTAAAATGCATCTGTCGCCTACACGAGCCCCTCATGCTCGGTTTGTCCTCCTGCTGGTGACTGCGGGTCTCGGGTAAGTCCTCGCAGATCCAAGACTTCCCGTGCGGTGGTTGAGGTTTTGGAGACTTTATTCAGTTCTGGTAGGGGACCCTGCTCTGGTGACTTTGGTCCAACAATTGGACTGAGAGTGCCCCTCCGTAGGATTTGGGTTTGATCCCTGGAGGGGTATCCCTCGGTTGAGTTTGGCCTTAAAAACGGTCTCATCGGGAAGGGCTTTGCTTCCCTACATTCGGTACCCAGGAAAGGGGACCCTCCAGGTTGAAACCTCACTTTGCCCATAACGTTTGTAAAGACATCCACGTGTCAGGCCCCCAAAAAGACACTTTCAGAAGGAGGGGTGCCTCTGAGGACATTCACACTTCATGGGCACTTGGGGAGAGGTCACTGCCCATAAGGAGGGTACGAAATGAGAAACCCGGGCTCGGAACTTGCCCCGCCCGTCAGCCACCACGTGGCGGCAGCACGGGGGACTTTGGCTGATTGCGTGACCAAAATCCCAGTTCAGAGACTTGTATTTGGCTTCTTTACAGGACAAAAATCACAAGATTTCAAGCTCTCTTGGCCAAGATGTGGTTTCTTGGAAACCTCGAAGCTTGTCTATTTCACATTCAATTACAGCAGAAAAATAACGTACCTCCCAGAAACAGTAGGAATGCTTGTTTCTCAACAGGTAGTTTGAGAGCACTAAATGAAAACAAGAGACGATTATGCCTTAGGAAAAACTTACTGTAAATTGGGGAGATGCCTTGATAAATGAGAAAGGGAAACCAGCGCTTGTGGAACCGAAACAAGAAGGGAGAGAACACTTCCTCTTACCTTTGGCCTGGGAACCAAGGCCAGGTTAACTGAAGATCCTCAGCAGATTCCTCACCTTCTGCCTCCTGCACTGGCTGCCCTCCGTCTGCCCCGTTTCTTTTCCTCCCCCATATTCTTTGTTTCCACAAGGGCTTGCACCCTTTTATCCTCGGGTTTCCTCTCCTCGCCCTGTGAAACCTGCCCCTTTTCACACTCAGGCCTCTGGGGGACACTGGACTGTCTGCTGTGCCCACTTGCTTTCCGTTTCCTTTCTCTGTGTTGGTAACGGAGTCTTCAGGAGAAACTGCACGCAGAGGGTTTCAAACCCGTCAGAGACAATAGAACGGCTTCTTCGGTTTTAAAAAAGGCTTTAAAGAAATTCCGACAGCATGAAACACTTGGACCACTAGAACAAAACCTTAACTAAGCCCATCTGCCAGAAAACATATTTGATCCATAATTTCGCTTTCGCATTTTGTATCCTTGTGATGTCTGTTTTGATGTGTCTAGGTGTGTATACTACACATAAGGTATACTCTGCCACCAGAAAGCAGTGCCAACGTATATTCGTAAATTCATGTTTAGATTGTAAAAGGGCCCTATTTCATTGGCTTAAAACAAATGAGTGCTCCTACCAATTGTAGAAATAACAGAAACTAACACAATTTCTTTTTAAGTGCACGTGATCTACGACTCCTCTTTGATTAAATAAAAACTAGCTTAAGGAAGGTGTTGTCATTAAGTAGGATGTGCGACTGTCCAGTGCTCTGCTCGCTTTGGGCTAGCTGACCAGGTGGGGAAATAGGGTCATGAGCTTAGAGACCTGAGTGTGTCCTTCAGGAAGGCCAGCAGCCGTTTCTATCCGCTCGAGTGGCCTCTCACGCCAACGGCCCTGCAGAGAGAAGCCTGTGCTAAGCTGCCTGCCTCCTGGACTGAACTGCCCGCCCGCTGGCTCTGTGTTCTTGCCGCCTGAGCCAGCCCTTGTGAAGGGGCTCCTGGGATCCTGTTTCCTCCCAGAGGACCGAGGCTTCCCCGGTCCAGTCAGAGTTGCTACAGCTGTATCTTCCATTGGCTTCTTCACCAAGCGCCCAGAGGTGCCTCCATTCTGACAAACAGGACAGTACTTTTGGACTGTACTTTTGACAGTATCTGATGGCCCCTCCCCTAGCCTAGCCACACCCTTGTGGGGTTTCCATGGAAAGACCTTTCTTCCTGCTCTGCTTCTCTTAGAGCGCTCTTCCTGGTTGGAGTCCAGGCCCAGGAGGAGTCTAAAGAGACCTGAGTGTGCAGCTCTGAGCCCAACCTTGGGCTCTGAAAGCCCACCCTGTGCTCGCCCTTCCCCCATCCCACCTCCTGTCAGCATCGCTGCACCAGGCTGCTTCCAGGACTCCGGGGCAGGAGAGGGAGGACTGAGGAGCACAGAACAGTGAGTGTCCTGAACATCCCCTCCCCCATCCCTCCCCTGCACTCCCGGACCGGCCCCAGCCCAGACTCAGCAGCTCAGTAACCTGACTCCTCCTCAGTGTCCCCTGCCCCCTCTACTCCCTTTTCCCTCATTCTCCCCCTCACCTTCCTTCTCCCAATACCATCCATTAGCAGGTGCCCTGGGGCTAACAAAAATGGGTTCTGAATGTTGAGCAGCAGATTACCAGGTGTAGATAATGACCCATGTGAGAATCTTGCATTGGGAGATAGTAGGAGCCAAGGATGACGGCTATTCTCGGCCTGTCTGATGTCCCTCACTATACCCCCTCCACAGTGAATATCCCCAAGGCCATCCAATGTGAGACTGAGACCCATTCCTCAGACCAGCTCCGGGCTGATAGCGTCCAGCAGCAGCTGGCCCGGAACTTGCAGTTAATGACAGAGGAGCAGCTGAGGGAGTTCCAGCAGCGGCTGCCTGACCAGCGCTCTCCTGGGGCGACCACCACTCATCCTGAGAGTGCGGATAGCGAGGAGGTGGCCTCCCTCCTGGTGGCTCAGTACGGGGAGCAGCAGGCCTGGGACCTGGCCCTGCAGACCTGGGAGCAGATGGGCCTGAGCCAGCTGTGTGCCCGGGTGGGGAATGAGGCGGCCTTGGAGTCAGGTGAGTAGACAAAGCGCCCTCTGCGTGCTGTCCATCTGCTGCCCCGCCCCCATCCCCACTGAACCGCCTTTCACCCTGCCTCTGGGCAGTGACTGGCAACTGTTCGAGGGTGATCCAGGCCCAGGCAAGGCTGGCGCTAAGGCAAAGGGGAGCCTTTCAGGAACGTACATCTAGCCAAATACATTCCCAGAAACCCCTGTGGTCCCCACAGCCCCTGGGAGGGAGAGCTCAGAGAGCCACAGGGAACAGAGGCTGATACTCTTAAGGCATCAGGAGGGAGGATGTGCGCTTCACACCCACCTCAAAGCAGAAACTTGCCTGGCCTCCTGCTATAAGCTCAGAAGGGAGTCAAAAAACAGCTTCTAGTCCCAGCACCACCACATTGGGCAAGTCGCTTCAGGGCTCTCTCTGCATCTGTCTCCCTGTCCGTAGTGAGCGAGTGAGAGCCTGCCTCCTGGACAGTAGGAGGGTTAAAGAGAGAATCCGTGCTAGACATTTAGGACAGAGTCTAACTCCTAGCAAGTGCTCCATAACCTGCTCTGCTGCTACTGTGGCTGCCTCTGTGGATGTTATTGCTAATAGCAGCTGTGGGGGGCAGAGGCTTTAGCCTCCTGTAGGGGGAGCTGAGGCACAGAGAGGAGTCCTGAGTTACACGGGGAGGGAGAGACAAACTTCCTGCAGCCAGGTCAGGACACCTGCCGGCAGGGCTCGGGCTCCCTTCTGCAGCGAGGGCCTGGGGCAGGCTGCAGTGCGTGCACTGGTCTCTCCTCGGAAGACAGGGTCTCTGCCTTCTGGTTCTTCTTGGTTGGAGGACCCCGGGGTCAGTGCCCTGGCTCCTGCCCACCCTGCTCGCCAGTGTCACCCTCCTTACCTGCTTCCCACAGCTCAGTCTCCCCCATTCCTCTACTTCCTGGTTCCAATGGCACTTTCCTACAGGGCTCCTCTCCACCACGGTGCTGAAACGCTTTGACCCTGGGTCCTAGGGCTCCCCCAGAACTTAAAAATAACTTGAAACTCTTGTCTGATATATGGACAGACATGGAAATGGGAGGCTTGCTGAGTTGGCATGAGAGCCCCAAGTGGGGCTGCAAGGCAGCCAGCAGATTCCCACCCAGGTGAGCCTGTGGCTGCACGAGGACCTGGGCCAGGAAACTATGTAAGGAGGACGGAGGAGGCAGGATGAGGTGGTGGGGTCAGTAGGCCTAGAAGGGCTCTTTCAGGAACACTCCAGTGTTGAGACCACACCCCCTCTGATTTGACAGATGGCAGCCTGAGGCCCAGGCAGGGAGCCTCCCCCAACCAGGTGCCACGTGCAACATGGTCCTCGCCCGGGCACAGCTCGGGTGCTGATCTCAGTGGACTCTGAAGTTCCGTGGGGCAGGGTGGTAGCAAGTTCCCAGGAGGCCTCTGATCTCCAGGTGCTGCCCAGGAGGAGGGCCGGCGTATTCCTCAGCCCAAGTCCAACTCCGCTCCTGCCTCCTCTCATCTCGGCCTTCGCCATGCTAGTCACCAGGCTGAAACCTCTGCTCCACCCTGGCCTCCTTCTCTTTTCCTCCCAGCATCCAAATCCACGCTCACACAGCGCCTGGAAACAGAGCCAGGGCTGGAGCCTAGAACCAGCGATTTCTCCCTCGAGTCTGCTGCTGCTTCGGGAGGACCCACCCCGTTTCCATGTCCCCCATTTCCGTTCCCCTTCCTTCTGTGCCCGCTCCCCCTCCTCCTGCTCCCAGGCCCTGGCACTGATGGTCACAGGCTCAGGTCCATTGTCTGATATAATCCTGCTCTCTTTTGGCTTCTGTTTGCATTGACTATTTTCCCCATCCCTTTCCTTTAGCTTATGTGTGTCCTTAAAGCTGAAGTGAGTCTCTTGTAGGCAGCATGTAGTCAGATCTTGGGGCTTTACTGCTGGTTATTTTCAATTTTTAACCATTTAGTCTCTCTATTTCTTTTGATTGGAGAATTTTATCCTTTTACTTTTAAAGTAATTGTTGGTAGGGAAGGACTTGTCAATGATGTTGCAGCTATTATGTACTTCCTTTCTTCCTTCCTTCCTCTCTTGCTATTTTCTTGTGTGATTTGATTATTTTCTAGAGTGGTAGCTTTGATTCTTTTGTCTTTTTCTGTTTTGTGTCTGCTACAGGTTTTTGCTTTGTATCCACCATGAGATTTACATGAAACACATCTTATACTTGTTACAGTCTGTGTTCTTTTATATGTGTAGTCTTTACCAAATTATTTTAACTAGGGTTATTTTGAATAGTCTTGTACTTTTTTTCTCTTGGAGTTTCAGTCATTAAATTTATTATTTCAATATAATAAAAATATTGTGGTTAAAAAACACACACACAAGTAATAAATTTCTTAAACTCCTCCCTTCAGCACTGAGTATTAAGTAAGTGCTGAAGTCATTGCTCTCCCATTGATGAGTCAGAATTTTCCCAAAAATAAATACACACATAATCTTTTTGTAACACTTTTTTATTCCAATATTCGAAAAACAGAGCAAGCAAGCTTAGGAGGTTCAAGACCCCTTCTTTAACTCTAAAAATGTGCTGTCTTAAAACTGTGTATTTAAACTGGGAAGAAGTTCAAATGTTAAGAAAAAAGAACCCAATTTCTTCATAAACATTCTGTCTCTTACTACCAATCACATATTCTTTTGTAAACCCTGAAAATTTTCCCTCTACAGAAAATTTATATATGTATATATAAAATATGTGCATGCATGTGTCAGTAAATTTTTGAGCTAGCCTTCCCCAAAGATCAGGTATTTCCCTTAATCATCTGTACTAGCGTCAAAGAGTGAATACAGATATATATTACATTGGGCATTAAATGCATAAGTGTGAAATAGAAACAAGCAAAGAAAGTGGGGTCCTGCTTCCCACTGCCTATAGGCAAACTCTGTGGGCAAATATTTGGTAAGCAAGGAAAGGAGTGTTATCTTCAAGTGCTACAGATTTTGGAAGAATGGCAGGCTTCTGTCTCATCCCCTCTCAAACACCCAAAAAAGAATAACCCCACCACCCTCTGCAAGGCCTGACAATCCTAGGCTGTGCCTGGAGTTGCTTTTCCCATTTAAAATCTATCCTTTGGGAATGGCAGGCAGAAGCTGCACCATCATCCATTTGGAGCCCCCGAGGAAGAGAAAGAAAGCGAGTCTCTGCCCTTCTCCCTTTTAATCTTCCAGCCCATAATTCCATGCATTCTGGAAGTGTCCAGCTTCCCAGCCAATCCCATCCTAGACTCTCAGATCTGAACCTACCCTTATCATGTCTCCAAGAGGAACTAAGAGGGTTTTTGCTCCATCAATCATACTCAGCAGGCTGCAGCATCTCTGCCCTGGGTAGGGAGATCTATCATGCACCCCACCAGCTTGTTTACCCTTGCCTCAGTCAATCACCTCCTATGGCCCATTCCTTCTCCTCCCCAGCAATCTGATCAGATATCTCTATCAATTTTTCCCTTTAACATTTCTGAAACTTCCTAATGTTACAAAAGAAAGTGTGTAAAGATCTCTTTCTTCTGCAGCTACTTCCCGTGGATCAAGAACATAGTCCTACCTATCCCCAGGTCCAGAGAACAAAAACAAAAGGGTAGTTGGGAATGAAGGAAAGCCTTCACGTGAGGGAGGAGGACCTTGCAAAGTCCAGATCAGTTGGCTGTCCCTGGGAAACATGTGCATGATGCCCAAAGAACAGCATTGCTGCACAGGTTGGCATCCTTGTGTTCTGGAAGTGACAAATTTGGCAACAAGGTTAGAAAGCATAGTCAGAACCACAAAAAAAGGTTGGGACAAACCTTACAGTGTCCCACATTAAGAAAGGAGTGACCTCCTTGGAGGAAGCTGTGCAAGGCATATAGCACCTGTCTGAAACCATTTCGTCTACTATATTTAAATATATTAATATATATTAATATTATTAATAATATATATTTATATATAATTATATTAAAAATAATTTAAATTATTTTTATGTAAATATTCTAAGATTTCCCTCTCTGAAGAATTGTGAGCCTTTTCAGTCCAAACCATTAGGACAGGACAGGAAAGCAGTTTTATATAAAATGTTTAGACCACCCCATACTTAACAAACTCCTTCAGTCCAACCAAAGCTCTGAGTTTCATTTCAGGAGGCAGTGATGCAGATGGGCTTCTTAAGTGAGGTCTATACTATGTAAACAAGCACCCAGGCAATGAGGTCATAAACATACACTCTATGAAAATAGAAGGAAGAATAGTAAGGATAATTCACACAATGAACCATAAACCAATCGCAGCAACTGCAAGATGGTCTTTTGTGAAGACGTCCAGTTTTAAGGCCTTTGCGAGAATGATATTAAACAGTGACCATTTGACAGATTCTTCTTTCCTGTACATTGAACGTCTCAGGTGATGTCATCAGGAGCTGAGGTAACATCTGTATGCAGAAACTAGAGCAGCTTCCAAATGAAAACAGAACTGTGAAGACAGCACACTAGAATCCAATATCCACAACTAAGCATTGTGGTTTTCTTTGAAACATGAGTTTTCTTCTTAATATCACCCTATTGTCATCAAAGACATTGTAGGTTTTTAATAGTTTTATTATTTACATAAACACAACAAGAATAGAAATTAATCACCTGGGCTCTTTAAACATGCTTTGCTAGAATTTACACAAGGAACCATTAGATTGAGCTTTAATCAAGCCCTGCAGAGCACAGAAGCTAAGCCACACACCTGCCGTCTGGCTTCGCCTGCAGTGCTTATGCTCCTCAAGTCCTGGAGGTTCCCAATGTGTCTTAAGACTCCTTCCTTGCCATCCTCAGAAAAGCAACCTTTATTCCTTACCTGGAAAGACTGTCATGAACCACACGACCAAATGAGGCACCAGGCCATTTCCCCAGTGGTCTTTTCTTAGGTTCAAAAGTCAATCTTGGTTCCCCAAAGCTTTCTGGTAACAACCAGGCAGGCTCCAGGCATGCCTCCTTTGTGCATGACATTCCAGTCAACATCT